CTAATGTCAGTATTTCTTATAGAATATTTGTAATACAAATTACCCTTGAATAAGATGTGAAGTTTTCACATTTTATTTTTCTTGGTGCACAAAAGAATATTCAAAAGCGTTCGATACATTTCCTAGTTTTTCCCCGATCATAAATTGTTTTCACCCCCATGAATAATTTAAATATTCGTACTTTTTCTCAGCGAAAAAAAAGCAACTTTCATTACTTGTATACTTGATGCCATTAATAAGAATTGTCACCTGTTCTTTTTCTCAATTCTACATCAGTACGATGTGAATTTATGTCAACAGAACTTATTTGCTTTGCCTACAAGCGAAAAATTTCCTTTTTCTTTTGTACATGATTTATCGAACATCGTAAATATACCGATGAATAAATAAATTAGAAAAACATTTTTTGATCACTGTTAAAATTACTGAGAAGTAAGACGAAAATCTTTTTATCTCAGTGAAATTATAGTTTCAATCAGAACCGAGACTTCCATTTCTATGATATTGTTTTAGATATTTAATTTTCAAGTGAAAGACAATGAAGAGGCATAATAATAATAAGACAATGGACGATCATGCTTCGATCTCACTAACGAAAATCGCACGGATGACCGATCAATTACAGAATATTGATGAAGAAGAAACAATAACAGTAACAGTGAACGATTCTGTCGAAAATAATCTTCGAGTTGTTGATGTAACTGTTGACGAACCAACTGTAACTTCTGCGCACATCATTAATAACAACAATGGAAATTCAGGTCCTATTATTGGATATGCTCAAGCACCTTTATTACCACTTGTTAAAGCATGCGCACCATTGACTCATATTCTTCATGATTTATCATTCTATGTACAAATGGCACTCAACGAAACTCCAGAAGAACCACCTGATGGTTTAACAATTGATGAAAGCGCTGCGATTCGCCTATACTCAATGGAATGGAAACGACCGCATCGAAGTCTTTATTCCATGCTCAATTATACTATCAACAATGATCGTCAAAATTTGCCATATTATTTTAAGTATATGAAACTATTTTTAACTGGTTTAGTCAAATTACCATGTCATCCACCGCTAACCGTTTGGCGAGGTGTGACGAAGGATTTAAGTGCGCATTTTCCACCCGGTGTACCAGTAACTTGGTGGGGATTTTCATCATGTACAACTTCATTGACTGTATTGAATAATAATTTGTATTTGGGAAATAGTGGTGATCGTACATTGTTCTCCGTCGAAGCAATTAATGGACGAGCAATACGTGCTCATTCACATTATATTACTGAAGAAGAAATTCTTCTTTTACCTGGCACTCATATGATAGTCAAATCACAGTTGAATCCAGCACCTGATCTTCATATTATTCATTTGAAACAAATTATACCGGATGAAGTTTTATTGGAACCGCCATTTAAAGGTATTTTTGAATATTTTCATTTATTTGTTTTAAATGAATCCTATTTCTACATTAAGGTGCACATATTTATCAAGAGAATCAGTAAGTTGGATATTATCTTGTAGTATTCGTAGTTTTAATCGATGTTTTTATTATATTTACAAGACGTCAGTGGTATCGAACGAAAAGATTCGTCATTCCACTCGCTTTATTGATTGCTCTTATCATTGCAGCAATCGTCCTTGGCTCCGTTTTAGGAACAAGAGCTAACAAAACTTCTATAATTAACAGTACTTCAGGTACGATTCTTCTCCTTTCAGTTCGGGAGAGATGAGTGTTACATATCAACATTTTCATATTTCCATTCAATATGATTTTTAGTGTCTGTGTGCGACAAGCCATTTGAATACAAAGGTTCTTATGATACTGGAAATTATCCAGTTTCTACTACACTCGGCTATTTTACTAATGACAAAAAATTAGATGCAGTAGTAGCTAACAGCGACGACAATTACATCACTTTAATGCTTGGAAATGGAGATGGAACTTTTATATTTCCAGGCAAGTATGTAGTTGGCATGTCTCCCACTTCTGTGACGACAGCTGATTTTAATGTTGATGGTAAACTGGACCTTGCAGTTGCTCATGGGGATGACAACACCATCAGTGTGTTACTTAATAATGGAGATGGATTCTTTCAGACTCCAACATTTTATACAGTTGGTCGTTCTCCTCAATCTGTGATAGCATATGATTTTAACAATGATGGCCGATTAGATCTAGCGGTGGCAAATTATTTTGACGATGCTGTCTGCATATTACTCGGCAATGGAGATGGAACTTTTCAGACTTCAACATTCTATTGGGTTGGTAATGTACCGATCTCGGTAATATCAGATGATTTCAACAATGACAACAAAAAAGATCTGGCAGTGGCCAACTATAAGAACAACACTATCAGCATATTACTTGGTAATGGAGATGGAACTTTTCAATCCCAAAAATTATATGTGGTGGGCGATTCTCCACGATCTGTGGCATCAGGTGACTTTAATAATGACAAAAAAGTGGATCTGGCTGTGGCTACCTTTACTGGAAATACTATCAGTGTGTTACTCGGCAATGGAGATGGAACATTTCAAGCTCCAACGTACTATGTGGTCGGTTCGGCTCCAAGCGCTTTGGTAGCATATGATTTCAATAACGATAAAAATATCGATATAGCAGTGGCTAACTGGAATGATGAAAGTGTCAGTGTCTTGCTTGGCAACGGTGATGGAACATTTCAGACTCACGTGGATTACATGATTGGTAGAACTCCAGGATCTATAATATCAACTGATTTCAACAACGATCAACAACTAGATCTTGCAGTGACCAACTATTACAATAACAGTATCCATGTGTTATTTGGAAAAGGAGATGGAACCTTTCAGGATCAAACGTACTATATGGTTGGTATGTATCCGACTTCGTTGATATCCGGTGATTTCAACAATGATACCAAAATAGATCTTGCAGTAACTAATTATAATGACAGCACTGTAAGTGTGTTAGTTGGTAATGGAAATGGAATGTTTTTATCTACAACGAACTATACAGTTGGTGTCGGGCCACAGTCTGTAATATCAGCTGACTTTAATAATGATGGCAAATTAGATGTAGCAGTAGGTAACTATCACAGCAACACTATCAGCCTACTGCTTGGCAACGGAGATGGAAGTTTTCAAAGCCCAATGAATATTGGAGTTGGTCAGGGGCCGCAATCAGTACTGTCAGCTGATTTCAACAACGATAATAAAACAGATCTGACCGTGACTAACCAAATTGATAATACTACCAGTGTGTTACTTGGTAATGGGGATGGAACCTTTCAGTCTCCTTTAAACTTTATAGTTGGTGGTGGGCCACAATCTGTCATATCATCTGACTTTAATAATGATGGCAATGTGGATCTAGCAGTGGTTAACTACTACAGCAACACTATTAGCGTGCTACTAGGTAATGGTGATGGAAGTTTTCGGAATCCAATGAACATCGGTGTTGGTCATGGGCCACGATCTGTAATATCAGCTGATTTCAACAATGATAACAAACAGGATTTAGCAGTAACAAATTTCTTTGAAAATACCATCAGTGTGTTATTTGGTAGTGGAAATGGAAGTTTTCTGGCTGCAAGGAACTATAGGGTTGGTAGTCGACCAGTTTTTCTGATATCAAATGATTTCAACAATGATAACAAAAAAGATCTGTTAGTTGCCAATTACAACGATGGAACTGTCAGTTTATTGCTTGGCTATGGTAATGGAACTTTTCAAAATTCAATCAAATATGCAGTTGGAAAGGGTCCATCTTCTATAGCGTCAGGCGACATCAACAATGATAGCAAATTGGATGTAGTTGTAACAAGCAAAGTGTCTGTAGACATGTCTGTTCTTCTTAACGGCTGCAATTAGTTGATAATCTTATTTCAAATATATTGACATACGTGTATATGAATCATTAATCTTGAATATGTGCGTGATTTTGAATAAATAAATATCGTCATCCATTTCGACTTCTGACTTTTATAATGTTAATTCTCTTTTTACTCAAAATATTTCCTATCGTGCAATTACACTTAAAAACAAACTAGTTTTTTTGTATCAGAAACAAAATTATATTGGTCAAGTTGTGGAAGTTATTTGATGTCGGTTTGACTTTTTACTAACAGTTTAGAGAAGTTCTATCGTGAATTCGTCAAAAAGAATCCTCGAGAATATACTGATAAACTTCATAGTCGAACAGTGAAATGTTTTCAAAGTTAATTCGTATTTCTTGAGCGAATGTATATCAGATTGGATCCGTTGAAATCTGAGTCGGTTCCGGTACAGCTCTTCTCGATTCCGGCGCAGTTTTCGCCGATTCCAGCAGGTTCCTTGAGCCGGAACCGACCGTGCCATAATAACCTGGATAATTAATTGTTAAAATATTCCACTCGCGGCTAGCCGTTACATGTACATTTTCGCCCTTCCATTTTGTCTAGAGTCACTTTTGAAACTAATTCATTCATTCTCCTCTATTCCTTCTTTAAAAGTCACCCTCTTTGTGCTGCTGTGACTATCGAAGACAACACCTGACAAGCGAAAACATTATTTTGAATGACTGGCATCAGATGATATTCGTATAGTATGGCTGTTTATAAAAGTGTGTGATCTCATTAATATACTGATGACTATGAAGATCCAGCGATCGGACTTCAGTCAGCTGTTACATTTTGTTCTAGATATTGCCACTTAAAACATTATCGTCTAAAAAATTGATCCTTTGTCGCAAAAAACGGGCGAAAAAGTGTTTATGAAAAAACTAACACCGGATTCGAGATCCCCGACCTCGATTACCCTACCGGTAATTATTTTCTAAGAACGATCGATCAATTCCATTGATTTTTAAAATGCTGATTTCTGATTGGGTAGGACAGACAGACGGACAGACAAACCTTAAGCTTTTTAGCACAGCATTCAAACGCTGTATAACCCTTTCGTTAAGAAAAGGGAATATACACATTTTTCTGTTTAGATCTCTAAGGTACATTTCTTCACTCAATAGTCATTCTAACAAATGTTAATCTTCAATCATTTCATGTAATTTTTTGAGGGTGAAATCGCGTAATTGCTCGAGAATATTTAACGGAATGACAGGATCAGGTCCCCCAAACATAATTGTGAATATTCCATTAACAGTTTGAAATGTAATAAATGGCATGTTTCCTTGAATCATATTAAGAATCGGAGTCATTCCTTCAAATGTCCATCGTCCATATTGTTCATGAAATGGTAAAACACCCCAACTGGATATAGAACAAGTATTGAGTTGAGGAGGATTAGGATAATCTAAAATTTTTGAAAACATTTGCCCACCCATTATACCAAAAGTAAGAACTTGATTAGCATTAATGCATTTAGCTGTATGTTCTCCGAACCTTTTAGCAAGTTGCCATGTTTCTGCGCATGTTGTTGGTACATTTCGCAACGGTATTTCGAAAAACATAAGACTTGATACATGAGTAGATAGATCATGATTCGGATTTGGTGGAATATATCGTCGCCGTGAATCAGCTACAACACCTAATCGAAGTATACTTCTTTCGACTTGTTCATGATCTACTAATAATGAAAATGCATATATAACAGCACTAGAAACAGCAGATGTAATTGATACACCTTCTTGATGACATTTCATAACCAATTTTTGTGTTTCTTGTTTCGTTAATATTCCATACGAAGCTTCTGAATGGCAATGATCAGCCATTTCAGCTAATACAAAGTCAACGTTAGCTAATGGAATTTTTGCTAACGGTGATCGATTTGCTATGAATGTGTATAACATTTGAAACATTAATTTACTAACTGATAGTATTCTAGTTATTTTTGAGAGACTTCCTTGTATTGCTGCTTCCATAGTTATTGGCCAATCTAATGATTTAGAGAAAAGGTTGTCATTTTCATCAGCTAAAGCGATGAGAAGTTCATGTGCTGCGTTACTCAATGATAATGCATCAGAAACACTATGTTCACAAATAAATACAATTTCTCGTGGACTATTATCATCATGTTGATCTTCTGGATCCTAGAAAATTATCCAAATGTTAGCTACATCGATCATGAATTACTATATACGTATACGGTATACCTGCAACAGCCAAAATTCAGCTAAGCCTTCACCAATGATTGTTGTTGTTTTTTCTCGTTTTCTCCATTCTTGTCTCCAAAATACTTGATGATCGGATTGTTTTCTTGATATTTCTATAATTTTAAGTTGAAGTGTATTATCTTCTTCTAAGAAATAACAATGTGTTTTTCGAGGATTTCTTTGAAGTCGACTTCGTAGAATAGGATGACGTTGCTGTAATTTAGTAACTGCTCTAGATAATCTTTCAAAAGATATATACGGCCCTTGCAGATGTAAAACTTCACAAACTCGCGTTGTTCCTTGATATTTCTGTGAGGATTTCATGTAAGCATTTTCCATCGATCCTAATAAGCGTTGATTCTTTTTATCAATCGATAAATCATTTCTTTTACATAAGGAAAACATCGTGATTCTAACTAAAAGTTATCTTAAATAAATATTCATATGTCATTTGTAAATGATGATTTTCTTTTACTCAATAGATTATTTTATAATTTACTTACTCTAGATCATACACATAGTTATCTCTCATAGGACACGATCAAAGGACTTCATAAATATCCAACATAATACATTCTAAAATAACATAATTATTTAGCATGAATGAGCGACATCTCCTGATGCTGACTTTTACTTGGTAACAGAATTTTTATGCAAAAATAACGATGTGATGTTGCGTACTCAAGTAGACAAGAGTTCGGAAAAACGCATGTTCACGCTTAAAAACTGCTACTTTTGAATGCTTACACGCGTGTAGAAATAAGTGACCATGTAAACACCAACATTTCAACTTTCTCCACACAAACCTGGAGAATTTTAGTCGTCAACTGTAACGACAGACTGGTTGAGTAGCTGACCGCTTCTCACGGTATCGATGTGTATTGACTACTCTACATGACCAGAATGTGCCTCCTTCACAATAAGACACGCGCTTATATAGAGAAGAGGAAAGAGAGATATGACCCGGAGATAGTAGGATGCAGAGGTGAGAGAATAAAGAACAGAAAGAGATGAACGATTCATTATCGTTACACTCTCCCACTCAGATTGACGCAATCCTGGGCGTCCTTACATCCAAAAACAACACAATAACAAGCGAATAATAAACTGAGAAAAACAATCTAACGTATGATGATGACGCAATATGGAAAAAATTGGCAAAAAAAACAATTTCATAATATTTAACTCATGCGTTACACTTATTAAACATATAATTTCGAACATACAATGTTTAGGCGCAAGGCAACATTTTTCTTTGACAATCATTTGGACACAACAACAAAAATTGTTTCACTTAAGTTATGCAGACAGAAAGATCAATTATTATAGAGAATACTCACAGCTTTCGATTTTTTTTTCTCCTCATAAAAATTCCATATTTCGCGCGATGCGAACAGAAAAATCCATCTATAAAAGGTCAAACACTTTTATGTCACTTTTTATAGATTGCATTTAATATCCGATGACAATTCTTCCATAACATATATATCATTAAAAAAATTTAACGACGAGAATGATACCATTGATTTAACAGCCAGCGTAGGATAAATAACTATAGAATGACAAATCTTGATTGTTACATACATCGATGGACTAATTTTTTATTGAAATAAAGTACTCTTTGACACAACGGGATTTGAGTCTAGTGTATAAACGATACCTAGAACGATCGCTTAAAATAAATCATTTGATTTAATCTTTCTCTTCCATATAAGAGAGATGACAGAGTGTGAAGCCATTTCACACAAATTAACCTAAAATTTGATCGATTGTTGGTCATTAACTTGATCATTTCGGATAAAGTGCAGCTACTGCTAAGATGATAATAACAACTGACCATTTCATTGATAGATAATGATTGATGATTGTTTACGGCCGATAGTAATCACATTCATTATCGTCAATGATAATTTTTGTTTGATGAACCGGACCAAAATAAGAACGTAGCAAGAATGAAATGTTGAATCGAGCAGAAAGAATATGAAACGTACTGATGTTGTAAAGGAAATGCGACACCTCTCGCATAAACGGTAAACAGAAAACCGTCCTTTAGTACGTCAACTGATGAACTGTTACATTGTTTTGCAGTAGAACAAACAGGACCTGCAATTGTTAACAATGCCAAATTCTTCATCTTCCATCAATATCTTTCTTCTTTACATCAGTCCAAATTTTCATTCATATTTCTTTGTTGTTTCGTTGAATGATGTTGCAAATATGCGCTTGTGAACATTAAAGTATTTTTAATTGCGCATCGTTAAGTTGCTTTTGTTTTTTTTTCGGGGCTGTTGTTGTTTCTGGCGGAAATTAAACTCATGCGGGTAGATGGACATAAGTACGGCTAAGGTAGATGGTCGTGAGTAGATCGAGAAGATAGAGCATGAAACGTATCGATGCTACTAAGGAAAGTGCGGTGACAAGTCGCACTCTCGGCTCCCAATACATAAGCCGCCTTTTGATACGTCTACTGATGTTCGGTAACATTATTGGGGAAACACATTTCAACAATGCCATGCGTCTTAACTCGTATCACCTCGTTCCATTACCTTAATCAGTTCTTCTTACCATATAAACATGTAGATTTCTTCATAGATCGAGTCAACTGGATGACGACGATAATGATAATTTGTTGGTGTTATTTCTGGCAAGGATTTATTCTTCTTCAGGCTTTGCAAGGGTCTATCCTGCCAGAGTCGCCATGTAACGACAAACTGGTTGAGTAGCTGACCGCTTCTCATGGTATCGATGTTTATTGACTAATCTACATGGCCAGAATGTGTTTCTTTCACAACAAGACACGTGCTTATATAGAGAAGAGGAAAGAGAGACATCACTCGGAGATAGTATGATACAGAGGTGAGAGAGTAAAGAACAGAAAGAGATGAACGATATCATTATCGTTACATCACAATTTCTGTCTATGTACACGCGTAAAATACTCATTTTGTTGCCGCGTATGCGCGGATTGTTTCTAATCAGTGTGATTTTAGTCAATTCTTGTCTGCTTGGATAAATGTGACATGTATGCACCACTGGAGAGAATTTCTCTCTAAAAACAAATACACCCTCACCCTGATATATAGAATGATTATAATAAATTCTGTCACGAAGAGAATTTCTATTATAATATAAATAATTATTAAGAAGACTTTAACAAAACAATATCGAACGATGATTTGAATATTTAATCATTTGAATTTACATTCAGAAGATCTATTTACATAGAAGAGAATTTTTCATTTCACGTCGAAAATGTTTTGATACAACTAAATTCGTAAAAGTTCCTATACAAAATGGAATAGCTGTACCAGTGAGACTAGTTGCAAAAACCAATCGTTCAATGGCAACGCGTGAAGAACTCTTCGTTTGATTTAAAGTTGCTTGTTGATATAAAACAATAATAGATTGAATTAAATTGAATACTACATAAATAACGATGTCAACAAGAAGAATTTTAATGAAAAGTCGATCTTTTGCTTGAGTTGAACATGATGGTAAACGATCATTTTGCATTATTCCAGTCATTCTTCTAGTGCCAGGAACAACTGGAGTTTTAGTTCGAAGGTTTTTCACTGTCCATAAACCAAAAATAATCATAAGAGATGGAATAAGAATACCTTTAACAATTAATGGATAATAACTCATTATAGTTAAATATAAACCAGATTGAAAAAAACATCCACTTCTACCCAATGCAAATATTTGAATATGCATTAAAAAAAAAGAATGAATATGAATTACTGACCAAAATAACGTTACAAGAACAATTGAAATATAAGCAAGATGAACGGTACTCTTTTGTCTTATTAGAGCATTATGGGACGTAAGAAATACTCGATCAATTGAAGCTAATATAAAATAACATGGTGGTAAAATTTCAAAAAGAAACATTGTATAAAAACGAAAACTACAATAAAATAAATTATATCTTGTCAGATCGATTGAATAACCGAGCGATAATGTTGAATATAATGTTGATGTATAAATAAAAAAGATACTACTGACATTCGATGCTATTAAATAAATAGAACATGGATTTTTTCGTAACGTTTTTCTGCTGAAAACATATAAACCAAGTAAACAATTTATAGTTCCTATAAGAATTAAAATTGGGCCACCATATTTATGTACGTTTGTAGCCAATGATGAAAATAAATCGATTAAATCATTGTCTGAAGACATTTTTGTTGTCTGCAAGAACAAATGAGAAATGATTTCTCCAGGGTAATCTTTATCTTACTTTGAGTAAAATTCAATTAATACTTTCTCTCTTTCTTTTATTATGGTCTCAAAGATAAAGGGCGGTGGATGTTGAGAAGTAAAATCGGTCATCTTCAAAAACCTACATATAATCTTCAGAAAATCATTATACATGATATCCTGCATTATTTAATAATTATAAAATAATGCAAGATAATAAGTAAGTTTTTGTAGAAGGTTGATTTCGCTTGTTAACGCCCACCGTCCTTTCATCAGCAAATTTTTCTTCTTTCAATTTTTCTCATATGAAAATTCCATGTTCTCTATTATTTTATTCTTCTTTCTTTTTATCAAATTAGCCCTAGTCCTCCCAACATGAGTCATTTTTTACCCACATCCGAAGTGGATGTTTTTTATATGGAACAGAGTATGACATTTAGTTTTAATTTTTCGTTACAGTTAAAAAGGTCGTTGTTTTAATATGCTCTGCGTGAAATCAGATGTAAAATATCATAACTTGAATTGCAGGGGATAGTTGCAAAAAATCCAAAAAGAGCACGGGGGGTCTAGGGTTAATACTGACAGTTTTCATATATCGTTCGAGAACATCATTGGTTTCTTCTTGTAATTGAATACACTATAAGACGAAAAAAATGTCATATGTGAAAAAAAACGAAAAGTACACCTATATAAATTATGTTTGCTATGATATACTTGACATTCTTTTTATTTATTAATTTACAAAACTTTAAATAAATGTGCACTTATGTTTTCATGTATTTATATTGAAATATACGAAGTCTTTTCATAAAAGACTAGTAACGCTCGTCGAGGTAGACTCGCTATACCCTCGACTGAACCACTGACTGAAAATAAAATAGTCTTATATGCATTTTATGCAAAACAAGACAGAAGTATAACCTTTGAAGGGGGCCCCAGAAACTGATCTTCATTCGCCTCACAGTGTTCAAAAGAACCAAGAGAGTACTTGTGTTCCTTTTAATTATCCGATGCTCCTGAATGACAATCACTGTTCACAGGAAGCAGAAGTTCGCTACAAATGACTATTATGGATTTGCACCTTACACGCATCCTCCTTTTTCTAAAAGAAAGATAATTTCAGTAAGACCAAATGAGACTCTATATATTTCGCATTCGAACGGGTTGGGTTGTTGATACTTTTGTAATTGGCTAGATTACCAGGCGCCACTCACAACTCGCCGTTCCAAAGCTGTCCTTATCTATCATATAATTACCTGTGTGCTACTAAAAAGTATCGAAAATTAATTAGCATTCCATCAGCATCTCATTGATAAAATTATCCGCGTCCGAACATCTGAGGCTATCTCCTTAATCAAAAGGCTTAAAGGCGTACAAAAACTCTCAATATATCGAAGCTCAGCATTTAGGATTGCTCTCCAGTATGTAACTTGTGAATGAATGCATTTTTGGATTACTCGCCTTTGGTATGCGACAGTCAACCGAGTGTGTTTTTACTTTTTCGTAATCAACTCTTCTATATAGCCCTCCTCTCAGACGTGGATGAAATGTTTTCTTCATTTCTGTCACGTCCCTACCCCTTCACCCGTCATCTAGCCAACCTCGAGCCTCAGGACCCCTTCCAAACGATGTTTCATGAAGTTTTGAGCATTTTCGAAAAAATGCTTTTTCACCTTTGACCTTTGACTCCGACACTAACTACTTTTTTTCATATGGTCCTCTTTTTGGTTGAGGGAAACACACGATCACGCTGATTATCGCAGCTATGAATGCTCTCTCAACAGATTCTTCCGACTTCGACTTCACTTCTTCCCCATACACGTCTCAACCAAGATCAAACCGCAGCACCCCTCCAAAATCATGTGTTATGAAATTTTGATCCGTTTTCAAGAAAATGTTTTTTTGACCTTTGAACTCTGATCCTGCGATAAACAGAAAAGCTATTTTTTCTCGTATGACCCTTCTTTCAGTCTAGGGAATATATCTTGACGATCAATTTGTCATTTGATGTTCTTCAAGTATAAAAACAATGCATTTTAGTTTCATATTTACATTCTTTGAATTTTGTACGATTTAAAATCTATCGAAGTGATCTCTATCTGTCGAAAAATTTCATTCCGTATAATTCCTATAAGTTTTGCTCAAAAATAAAATAAATGATAAGTTTATTTATTCATATGGCGATTTTAATAAGCTTACTCAGGACGTATCAAAAATTCATGGCTCAATGTCTAAATGATAGCAACATACTGTATTATCGAGCTTTTCGAAGCACATCGAATGGTATATATTAAATACTGTTTGCAAAAAATGTTTGAAGGACTTCGTATTGGCACGTACGTATAAGCAAGTTGGGTTAATAATTATTGCTATAGATTGAAAACATTTGTTAGATACTTTTTTCCATGGCCTACAATATCGTAATCGTACCATTTTTGATCGTCATGTAAATATAAACATGTCTACGGATTTGTAGTAGTTCATTGTTAAATTCACTCGAAGTCTTTCAAAATTCTTTGAAAATAGTATTTAACATATACCATTCGATACGCCTCGAAAAGCTCGATAATATAATATATTTGGTTTCTTATTTTAAAGTAGGTCGCTGTAACGAAAAAATGTTGATCAGAGAATGAACAAGAATGCGAAATAATATTTCGTGATTGCAAAGACAAACTGGAGAAATAACGTTATCGTTATTCTTCACATGTAGATGATGTTCACTACATATGTTCTGCACTATACTACAGTTGTGTCTCATATCATACAGAACATTGTCTTTTATAGATGACATAATGAAGAAGAAGAAGAAAGAGGTGACAGACGAACAGACACAATGAGAAAATCTTCAACAGTGTGCTTGTTCCCACAGTGACTTTAGTCGACAACGTCCTTTAAACTTCGGGTCTCGACTTTTTGTTATACTCCAAATATATTGGGTTGGTAAGAAATTTTTTGCGTTTTTTTCGAAAATTTCCTAGAACAGTCGGGAAAGTTCTAGAAGTTTCCATACTAAGGATATATATAGGGGGTACGAATATCTTTCGGACAACAACAAAATTATGGACATGGATGTTGATCACGAATTAGAAATGAATATATCTCGTAGAGAGCTCCGACTGCTTCTGCTTCATGAATTCCGTTTGGGGCGCAAAGCAACGGAAGCAACAAGCAACATATGCAGCACGATGGGCAAGGATGTACTCTCCATCCGTACGGCGTAGCATTGGTTTCATCGGTTCAAGAACGGTAACTTCGAACTCGATGATTTACCTCACACCGGAAGACCGCTACAGGTGGATATGGATGTTTTAAAGCAGCTTATTGAAGAAGATCCTCGATTGACTACGCGGTGTTTAGCAGAGCAACTTGGGTGCTCCCATATTACAGTGGAAACGCATCTGCATGAATTAGGCAAAACGTGGAAATACGGAGTTTTGATACCACATGAGTTGTCACCGCATCAGCTGCAACACAGAGTTGACTCTTGCATGGAATTAATGACATCCCATCGCAACTACCAATGGCTCCGCAATCTTATTATTGGTGATGAGAAGTGGGTGTTGTACATTAACTACACGCACAAACGACAGTGGCTGAGCGCTGGTCAAACAGGTGCAGCAACGTCTAAGACTGATCCGCACTCTAAGAAGGTGATGCTCAGCGTATGGTGGGGAGTTAAAGGAATTATTCGTTGGGAACTTCTTCCAAATGGTTACACCATCACTGCTGATTTGTACTGTCAACAATTAGATCGGCTTGCACAAAAACTCAAGGGAAAGCAAGATCGAATTTACTTCTTGCATGACAACGCGAGACCTCATGTTGCGAAGTCGACGCGTCAAAAATTATTGGAGCTCGGATGGGTCACTATTCCACATCCACCTTATTCTCCGGACTCGGCTCCTACAGACTACCATTTATTTCGTTCTCTGTCTAATCATTTACGCGAGAAAAAATTCGACGACGAGAACGACCTCAAAATGGACCTCCTCAACTTCTTTGGCCAAAAGTCCCAGGACTTCTACGAACGCGGGATCCTTTCTCTACCATAGCGTCGGCAACAAGTCATAGATAGTAATGGAGCATACATTGTTGAAAGTTAGTTGTATTCTTGAAGTTAAAAAGTGACAATAAAATTTTCGAAAAAAACGCAAAAAATTTCTTACCAACCCAATATATATATATTGCTTAACAAAGAATTGGTTTATATGTCTATGCATATTTCGACAAAAAATGAGTTTGGAATTGTTAGAAAATGAGTTATTATTAACTTTATTCGAATATTTTAATAGTTTTAATCTTTTTCGTATTTTTTACAACCTTAATTCTCGTTTCAATAAACTTCTCGCCGAACAAATTCGCACTCATAAGTTCAATTTTCATTATTTATCAAAAAAAGATTTTAATTTCGCATGTGAAAAATATCTCCCATTAATTCCAAATCAAATTCTCGCTTTTCATCTCTCAAATGCAGATGAAACACCATATCAAATTGATCTATTTCTTGAAAATTATTTCCTTCCTCATCAATTTCCATACTTACGATCATTATCATTTTATTATATTTGTTCCAATGATTTATTAAATCAAATTATTCTACAAATTTCTTATCTTCCTCATTTAATTTCTGTTCGATTTCTCGAATGTTATTTTCAATCTTATGATATTTCACATTATAATACCATTGATTCTCTTTGATCGTTAACAAAACTTACATATTGTGTTTTAGATTTTCGTTTTATACAAAATAATCGAATATCATTACCAAAATTGTTCTCTCAATCAATAAAATATTTATCAATTCCATCAATTATTTGACAATGGAATGATTTGCTTAATTTATTACAATCTATTCCAAATATTCTTCATTTAGATATTTATTTACCTGATTATATTACTAACAAACAACTTGAATCTCCTATTCAATTTATCTCAGCTTTGCAAATTTCAATTTCTTATTCATCTAATGTCTTGTTTAACCCTTTCGAGGCGATTCAATTTTTTTAGAAAATAGCTTAAATTTATTGATTTTTACGTATATTTATGCCCTATAAATACACCTGTTAGCTTTTTTCAAGGTATATAACCGTTTGTTTCTCTTTGTCTTGTTGTCATGAATATATGAAGAACTCGCGTTTTCATTTTATTGGATAGTTATTGAAGTTTACTATTTTTCATGCGTATTTTATGCGATAGAAGTGAGACAAAAAAATGAAATTTCATTTTTTTTCGCTTTATATTCTTTTCGTACCATTACTTTCGATTCTTTTCTCTTATGTGTATTAGATAAATTCATTTTTTGAGTTCACTTAGATGTTTTAGGGTGAGACGTCTTTTTCTAACAAATACAGTTTACTTCATATACCACTCGTCTATCTGTACCTGGATGAACTTCTTTATCTTCTGAATGTGTTTTCAAAGATATTATTTCATGATATCCTGTCCTAGATATCTTAGATATTCTCTCTTTCATTCTGATATATCTCGTCGTATATCATCCCTTCTTGATATCTTCTACCTGAATAACTATTCTACCTATATATAGTTCGCATTTTTCAGTATGTAAACACATTGTGTTCTCCTATTTTACTTTTGAAAACTATCAAACGCACAATACATCGACTTAACAAATGTCATCTGAAGAAATCGACACGGACAACAGCGAAAACTCACGCAGTGATGTGAGTTCATTAGACGCTGGTTTTATGAAAATCCAAGTCGAATAGTCAAACTCCAAAGAAGAATTTTCCGATAATGAATTAGATTCACAAGTATGGAATGAAATAGATTCAGAATCGGATGGTGAATTTCAAGAAGACTATGGGATCGTCGATGAAGTAAATCCACCTTCGCAAGATAATACAATCTATCCTATTGATTGTTATCGCCATTTCATTACTGATGAAATGATTAGCCTGATGGTTCACGAAACTAATCGGTATGCACAACAACACTTACAAGCTCAAGAACTTACCCAACGATCAAAAACTCTTCAATGGAAACCAATTACTCATGAAGAAATGTTAAAATTCTTGGGAATTATCATCGAAATGGGTTTGATACAAATGCCAAACGTGGACTATTACTGGAGAAAAAGTAAGTTATATGGGTCCGAAGTTATTCAAAATACCATGTCAAGAGACAAATTTGAATTAATTCTCAAATTTTATCATTTTTCGAACAATGAGGAGCAACATGAAGATGACGACAAATTGTTCAAGCTGAAACCACTTCTCGACCTGCTGCAACTGAGATTTATGTCAGTTTACGTTCCAGGCTCAATTATTTCTATTGATGAAACAATGGTCCCATGGAAAGGTAGACTTCTCTTCAAATAATAAATTCCTGGCAAATCTCATAAATACGGAGTGAAAATATACAAGGTAGCTAGTACAACAGGATATACTTGGAATTTTATGGTTTATACTGGTAAGCAGAGTTCAATCGCAGGTCATGGTCATGCTGAAACAGTTGTAAGGCAATTGGTAAATGATCTTTTGGGATGTTATCGAACTGTGGGAACTGACAACTTCTTTACAACTATTTCTCTTGCACAATATTTATTACAAAATGATACATATCTTATTGGAACATTCAGGAGTAATCGTGCTGGATCATTACATGAAGTAGCTAAGAAAAAGCTCAAGCATGGTGAAATTTATGGCCTTCAAAACAAAGATGGTATCAAATTAATCAAGTGGAAAGATAAAAGAGATGTCTTGATGATATCTACAAAGCCACCACATTCAGCAACCGTGGTAGATACGGAAAAAAAAACAAATAAGTTAAACGAACGTATTATGAAACCACAAGTTGTAATGGATTACAATCAAGGAAAACAAGGTATAGATCTATCTGATCAGCTCTCATCATATTATACATGCCTCAGACGATCTATAAAATGGTATCAAAAAGTGGCATTTGAGCTGATATTTGGAACATCAATAGTTAACGTCTATTTGATTTACAAGGAAACGTATGAAACAAGCCATATGACAATGCTACAGTTTCGTGAAAGTCTCGTGCGATCTTTACTTCTTGGTACACCATTCGAGAATCTGAAACCTGGCCCGAGACAACAGCCAACAAGTCATTTGAAGTGCAAACTCGCTGATCACAAGCTTGAAGAAAAGGAAAGATTTACGCGCAGTGTTGGCAGACGGTGTACTGGCTGCTATGCAATGGGTGAGGGTAGGGCACACCAGTCAAGGGAAGCAAGCAATGCAGCGGCAAAGAAAGTAAAAACTTTCTGCTCTGACTGCGATAAATTTTTTTGTCTTGAGTGTTTTCATGATAAGCATTTTGCTATGGAATAAAGGATTCAAATAAAGTACTGAAGACAGAAGATGTGATACGTTATGTTCAATCTTCTGCTTGAGAAAACAGCAAAAGAAAGTGTCTTTCTATGCAGTTTCCCGTTAAAATATAGCGTCGCCCACCGGTGGGCGACATCGACTCGAAAGGGTTAATATGGACTATTCCCAATGTGTTTTTTTTGTTTTTGTTTTCATTTGTTGATAATAAGAGATGGATTTAGTTGTATAGTGAAATTAGATAAATAAAAGTTTGTTCTTCACCATATCGTAAAATATTTTGTACAGTAGTTTTTCCAGAAATTATGCTTGCCCACCCGGGCATGGTGATTGCCCTCCCGGAAACCAAAAGCTGGATAAAACACTGCCCTAGCCCCGTATACACATTTTTATTATCGCAATCCTCAAGTTTAAAACGATACAACTAATCTGATCAGCACAGCTACCAGTTTGATAATAAAAAGAACCGAATTCTCTTTCTTGTATTATCATTTCGAATCAAGGTATATTGTTTTATTATTAATAAAATAAAAGTATTTTAGTCCCTAAATCAAAAGATATTCTGGTTAATTTTCAATGGCATTCCAATTAGCAAGGCCGTTCACAACCTAAAATATCGAAATATGTTGGTCATGTTTCCATTACACTTTGAATTTTGACAAAAAATCATCATCAACTACTTACAGCATCCACAGCAAGCTGCTATCCAGCATGGTGTCCATAATCCTGCTGTTAATATCCATAATAAACAATGACATCCATGTTGAACATCTTTGTTTTGTTGCTGTTGAATAATAATTGGTTGATTATTTACTGGATACGGTTGTGTAAAGACAGGTGGTGCTGCCTGATGATAATTTCCCGACATTCTAAAGTCACCACAGTCGAAACTAAATTGAAAAACCGAAACAAGCTTTTTGTTTTTTTTAACATTAAATCGCAACATTAATTACGATATACAGTAGTGTGCATAGTTACAGTAACATCACTTCGCAGTAAATCATTTTACTTCTATAGCATACGATAAATAGTAATGTCGACATTATCATCAGAAACTAAAACAAGTCGGAAAATTCCCGATTGAAACAAGAAATACTCTCAGTCGTATTTTATTCGTATGATGGGAAATATGAATTTGCAGCAAAATCAGTTCTTTTGAAAGTAAATGAGTTTGTGAAAAATTATTATCAGCTGATATTATCACTGTAATGAAACTGCAATATAGCGGTATTAGCGGTATAGTAGTATAGTAGTATTGGCGGTATTCATCGTATATAGACATTTATATTTATAAACCATGAAGTTCTTTAACCACTGTTGGAGTTAAAGCTACCTTTTGAAATTTTGATTAGTTATAACTCGAGTTATAACCTCGGTTATAACCCTTTAAACAAAGGAAAAAATCTAAAACAAAATTGTTAATTATAACTAGTTACAACTAAGACAGTTTTAACTCCAACAGTGTCTTTAACACCGCTATACCGCTAACACTACTATACCTCTATCGCATAAAGTTGACTATGCCCCTACGACTTCTGCACTCTCTTACAATTTCAGAGTATTTAAATCCAGTAATCAAAGAAACGCCTAGTCGTTTTTTTAATTCACTGCTTAACTGAATCGATCGCTCGATTTTGTCGAATCATGTCATGAAATTTGATTTTGCCACAAAATCAAATTCCCCATGAACTCATTTTATTTGATAATAAGATTAGGTGAATGAGCATGGGCGAGAAAATAGGTGAATGTGCGTTCGGAAAACATGCATTCAGTTGCATATAAGCCTTCACCAGCGTACTTATACTTTCCTGTATAGTCTCTAGTCTTGTATTGATACATCAGATCTATATGAGGTGTGGATGTGTAAATGTTGTATTTGATCTTCATTTACACTCATCCCACATCCACATTCACAAATTGTGATTATCTTTGCTTTAGTCATATTTACATCAAGAAGTGGATTTTGTACTGTCAAATTCATCAACCTGTGCTTTTCATGACATGGAGAACTGACTGTTTTATTATAACTAATCTTCACATCACTCTATTGATTTTCTTTCACATTTACTTACCTTATGATTTCTTCTTTTTGTTTTTGAAGCTGTCGAACTGTTCGTCTCACAAACCTTTATATATTTATCGTCGCACAAAAAAACCGAATGATGTATTCATGAAAAAAGAAATATTTGTGCGTATTTCTCGCTTGTTCTGTCTACTATGTATTAAATTGATGATTTATATACTAGGAGTAGCACATTTACTTTACTTTTAAAAGTAACTACTTTTTGATTTATAGATGTCAAACATTTGTCTATAGTATAACTCGTATATCAAAAGAAAGAGCATAAAATTTTATTACTATGTATTCGATAACGATATCGCTACTGTGTGAGATAATGCTTTTTATAATCAAGTAAAAAGTAGTTACTTTTGAAAAGTAACTGTAAAGTGCTACCCGTAGTATATACACTTCGTCGAAAAATTGTTTTCGGTGTCGCGGTACACAATCTCGCTGGGCAATTGATGTTTTATCGAAAGTTTCTATAGTAGTAGCATGAAAAACATTCGCCGAAAAATCACTGGACTTACGGCGATTTCACCGAAAATTTACTGCATTCTTGACACTAAATCCGACATAGAGAGAATCCACATTTACCTTAAGATTTCACTAAATATAATTAGAACTGATTCAATTTTTTATTATCATATATTTGCATACGAAATTATTCAGAGAGCGACAAAGTATATAGGCGGATTATGATATCACCCTCAAGTTCGAAGACAAAAAATATCTACGACTCTTTCATATTATCTCAGAATCCATACATAACTCTTTTAGAATTATTTATATTGACGATAAAAATGAAGTTTGAATACGTTTAAACAAACCTTCGAAAAACACAAGAGAACTAATTAAGATTTTTTCGAATGTGAAAGAAGATCGATGTGAGTAAACTTTGATAAATATAATTTCATATGGAAAAACATGTCGTTCTGTAAAGGATTGAGAAACAAACCTTGCTCAATGGTTTTCGGATTTTGCGGAATATGAATCCTACACTTTTCAAAAGATTGATGTTTGACATGATGAATAACTAGTTTCGTCATTTTACACTCATATCTATATCGATAAGTCTAGTAGTACTAATTAAAATTGTCTATAGATGAATCGGATTGATTACTCACGACATGAACTATTTCAATATATTACAAAAAAGAATGTTATTATTATTGACAATACTCACTGTTTGTTAAAGTATGTGAAAATGTGTTTTTATAGGAATCTTTGTACCAGATCAATTTGATTTCTATTCAGAATCAAAATAATACAATAACTTTTAATTCTTATATCACATGATTATTGCTTAATGTTAGAGTCAGATGGCACAAATGCGTACTTGAATAGATTAATATTCTCAATTTTCTACATTTCTGCTTTTTATGACTTTATTTATTTGATAGAAAAGGGTAGATCCATGGGGTCCCTACCACTTTTCTGGAAAAGAATTTTTTTTCGATTTTTTTTTCGCTCAATATGCCGAAGTGGTCTAGAAAACACTTTTGGTGAAAAAAAATGGGTCTCTTCCTATTGAAAATTTCGAGTTCTAGGTCGTTTTTTTCGGAACGTGTCTTGGTATATCGTCATATATACCGAAAATGTCAGAAAAAAACACGAAACGTCTCCAAAGACAACTTCTTAGGCAGTTTTTTTATGCTGAAAAAGATGGAAGTATTCTAGAAAAAAAAATTCACGAAAAAAAACAGGTCTCCCATCCCGAAAATATCGGATTTTGGGTCAATTTTCTCGGAATATGACAACTAGCAGATTTGCAAATCGAATAACAACCATTTGATTCAAGGAATTTATTCTTTTGTGAACAGATTTCAACGATTTTGATCACAGTATACTTTCAAAGCTTTGTTGAACTGATGAATTTCCTTAGGTAAAGCGGAAGAAACACCGCCATACAGTGATGAATATGGAAGATGATAATTTGGAAGAATAGAGCGATATTAAAAAGACGAGTTTTATAATGAATTGTGAGGCCATCTTTAGACATGACGTCTTTTGTACAAGCTACGGGATTTCGAACGAATGATATTTCAACATGATTCATCGGATATGAGAGAGAAGATTGTCCACCAGTATTTTTCTTTTTTTTAAAATCTTTTCCTAATGCCGAAACGAAAGTGTTGTGAACATCCGGAAAAACATGCAAATTCTACTCGTGTACCAAAAGGAACAATAGCCGTATCGTTACAGCTATCAAAATTTTTGGTTTCTCGGTATAATATGACGGAGACCCGAACGCGCTGGTTATATCCAAGNTAAACGCATAATTCATCGTCAATAGTTAATTTTCTAGTTTCACTTTTCTGTAAATTACTAATAGGTGATTCACCACAAGCTAACAAAAATTGATCAATTGTTGATAAGGACTGTTTGTGATCTGATGCTGACGTTTGTGATGCATTAGCTGTCACTATTGGTTGTAATGTTGATGGAATAGGTTCGCACGATGAAGTTGAAAATGGATCATTCAAATGGATACTTTCATTTCGAATCACTTGTTTGATTTCTTGTTCAATAATACAAACATCATCTTCTCCAAGAACAGAAAATCCAAGTGGGTTAAAGAAAGAATATTTCTAAAATACAAATAATTTTGGTTAGAAAGCTTTTGACACGTGAACAATCTTTATTTATCATATAATACAGCAATCTAGATTGATAAAGATATTTTCAATTAGAGGTGTACTGCTCACGCTCATGAGAGGGAGCTATACATCCGTAGTTTCAATTAATCTGCATCAATTCAAGCAGTTGACCCAACGATTAGTCAGGATTCCTATTCTACAAAGCACATGATTTTATTTTGATATTTACCTTCAATCATTTCAACTGATTTTCATCGGAGAAAAAGTAACGTTCGAATTTCGATAATAACATAAGTTTTAATGTTTTTTTAAGGTACTAACAGTAGATTCATCTTTCACCAAATAATTAAGAATCAATTTTATTGTGTAATAACATAAACCAGCTGTTGGATATGATCTTTTCGACACCAGTCTTGTTGCCAAGTAAAACGGTTTCAATACAGCGTGGATATCATTCAAAAGTGACCAATCGTCGTGATGCAATTCGATTGCAATCAATCGTGCAATTAATTCCCGTCGTACATCGAATGTATTTTTATCCCCGAAAAATTTCGCTATTAACTTTCTAGCAATCATAAAAGAATCAACAAGGAAGAACGTGCTATTCCATCTAGTAATACAATCGACGAGGAGTCCACGTTTTATTTTAAACTCACGACGTAATTGATCAAAATATCCATTTAATATTGTCGATTGCTTGAGAAGAGTAATTAATGAACGGCATTTGCTGACCACCCATGTAAAAAAAGCCAAGAGAAAACCTGATTTTAATCGATTTTTCTATGATGAAAAATCGATTTAAATGACACGGTTTTCATCTGATTTTAATTAATTTGTAATAAAAAAATCAATTTTTTCGTAAGTGAGTGAGTAAGAAGCTATATCGCATCTGTCACTATGTCAAGGATATCACAGGCTACTCCACTGTTGAGTCACTATTTGTCGATGCGAGGATTCTGAAAAAAAGGTTTAGAAGATTTTCTGAAAATTGAATATTCGAGAAAAACCCGTTTTTTCTTGTTTTTGTGATTAAAACCGATTACGATTTTTGAGGATTATAATTATTTTTTATGATTTCAAATAACTTAAAGGATTTGAATCGATTTTCCAGATACTAATCAATTAAAACAACTATTTTGCAACTCAATCAGAGAAAATCATTTTCTTTATTTAGTAAATTTCTTAGAACTGATTATCACTCGGAAAATCGGTTAAAACCAGTTGCTGTTGAAAAATCAATTAGAATCTATTATTTTCTGTAGTTTATCTCAAGACAATTGATTTATCAGGGGTAAATCAATTACAATCAATTTTATGTATTTTTTCGAAAAAATCGATTATCATCGAGTGTTTTGCCTCTTTTTTTACATGGGTACCACTCATCTCTTTGTACCTGGATGAACTTCTTTATCTTCTGAATGTGTTTTCAAAGATATTATTTCATGATATCCTGTCCTAGATATCTTAGATATTCTCTCTTTCATTCTGATATATCTCGTTGTATATCATTCCTTCTTGATATCTTCTACCTGGATTTCTTTCTATGGATATCATAGAAGATGATATTCTATGCGGATAACTCTCTATACCAGGATAGCTATTCTACCTATATATAGTTCGCATTTTTCAGTATGTAAACACATTGTGTTCTCCTATTTTACTTTTCAAAACTATCAAACGCACAATACATTGACTTAACAAATGTCATCTGAAGAAATCGCCACGGACAACAGCGAAAAGTCACGCAGTGATGTGAGTTCATTAGACGCTGGCTTTATGAAAATCCAAGTCGAATCGTCAAATTCCGAAGAAGAATTTTCCGATAATGAATTAGACTCACAAGTATGGAATGAAATAGATTCAGAATCGGATGGTGAATTTCAAGAAGACTATGGGATCGTCGACGAAGTAAACCCAACTTCGCAAGATAATACAATCTATCCTATTGATTGTTATCGCCACTTCATTATTGATGAAATTATTAGCCTGATGATTCACGAAACTAATCGGTATGCACAACAACACTTACAAGCTCAAGAACTTACCCAACGACTAAAAACTCTTCAATGGAAACCAATTACTCATGAGAAAATGTTCAAATTCTTGGGAATTATCATCGAAGTGGGTTTGGAACAAATGCGAAAAGTGGACTATTACTGGAGCAAAATTAAGTTATATGGGCCCGAAGTTATTCAAAATACCATGTCAAGAGACAGTTTTGAATTAATTCTCAAATTTTATCATTTCTCGAACAATGAGGAGCAACATGAATGAAGATGACGACAGATTGTTCAAGCTGAAACCACTTCTCGACCTGCTGCAACTGAGATTTATGTCAGTTTACGTTCCAGGCTCAATTATTACTATTGATGAAACAATGGTCCCATGGAAAGGTAGACTTCTCTTCAAACAATATATTCCCGATAAATCTTATAAATACGGAGTGAAAATATACTAGGTAGCTAGTATGACAGGATATACTTGGAATATTATGGTTTATACTAGAAAGCAGAGTTCAATCGCAGGTCATGGTCATGCTGAAACAGTTTTAAGGCAATTGGTAAATGATATTTTGGGATGTTATCGAACTGTGGTAGCTGACAACTTCTTTATAACTATTTCTCTTGCACAATATTTATTACGAAATGATACATATCTTATTGGAATATTCAGAAGTAATCGTGCTGGATCATTACATGAAGTAGCTAAGAAAAAGCTCAAGCATGGTGAAGTTTATGGCCTTCAAAACAAAGATGGTATCAAATTAATCAAGTGGAAAGATAAAAGAGATGTCTTGATGATATCTACAAAGCCATCACATTCAGCAACCGTGGTAGATACGAAAAAAACAAATAAGTTAAACGAATGTATTATCAAACTATAAGTTGTGATGGATTACAATCAAGGAAAACAAGGTATAGATCTATCTGATCAGCTCTCATCATATTATATATGCCTCAGACGATCTATAAAATGGTATTAAAAAGTGGCATTTGAGCTGATATTTGGAACATCAATAGTTAACGCCTATTCGATTTACAAGGAAACATATGAAACAAGCCATATGACAACGCTACAGTTTCGTGAAAGTCTCGTGCGATCTTTACTTCTTGGTACACCATTCGAGAATCTGAAACCTGGCCCGAGACAACAGCCAACAAGTCATCTGAAGCGCAAGCTAGCTGATCACAAGCTTGAAGAAAAGGAAAGATTTACGCGCAGTGTTGGCAGACGGTGTACTGGCTGCTATGCAATGGGTAGGACACATCAGTCAAGGGAATGAAGCAAGCAATGCAGCGGCAAAGAAAGTAAAAACTTTCTGCTCTGACTGCGATAAATTTTTTTGTCTTGAGTGTTTTAATGATAAGCATTATACTATGGAGTAAAGAATTCAAATAAAATACTGAAGACAGAAGATGTGATACGTTATGTTTAATCTTCTGCTTGAGAAAACAGCAAAAGAAAGTGTCTTTCTATACAGTTTCCCGTTAAAATATAGCGTCGCCCACCGGTGGGCGACATCGACTCGAAAGGTTTAATGAAAATGAAAGAAGGGAATCAGTGACACCATATTTCGAACAATGAAACCACCTTATGAGAGAGTGCCCTCCTTGATAAACTAATCTGGTTTCTATCTTAGAATTTGTTTACATTTCCCATCTTAACGCACGACGTGCCAATGAAAAACGGTCATAAACTGAAATGGCTAGAACCTACTATATCAGCCTACTCAAAACAAAGTTTTTAGATAGATTAGTTGCGNCATCTAATACCGCATACCGTACCGTACCGTGGCTTATCCATACCGTACCGTACCGTACCGCCTTACTTCTTTTTTTTTCCTATACCGTACCGTACTGGGACGAGACGGTACGGTACGGTACGGTGTTGATACCGCATACCGTCGGTCTCTGATCGGATTCTTAAGTTTTAATCTGAAAATTTCCAAGTCCAAATCAAGTGATTTTGTTGTGTCCATGTTTGAATTGGCATAAAAAGATACAAAACAAACGATTCATAAATCAAAGTAATTGATAAGAAGAACTTTAGACGAATGTTAACTTTTATATTAAGATTATTTATTTAAAAATAGTAAATTGTCTTCATTGATGGATAAAATTCGACAAATAATTGTTAATTTATAAATCTACTCTGTAAGATTTGTCCATTATATTCAAGATTTATTTATTCTTATTGATTATATTCGATGAAATCGAAATAAACAGTGATACATCCTTAGAAGTATAATAGATATCTTTCCAGGTTTTGATTCGAATAATTTAAGATTCATAAAAATAAATTGTATATCGAAACGATTCTAATTCATGAAAATAAAATTCAATTAGGACCGGGATTATATAGTATCGATCTTGTTACTGAACGTACTGGTGAATACTCTTTGAATCTTTTCATTAGTGATATGATTTTTCAAAATTAGTGGATCATATATTCTCATGAATTTTAATGAACAAGAAAAAAGAAAAAAGAAAAAAGAAAAAAGAACAAGAAACACAAAAGACAATAAATTATGTTAAGTAACCATCATGTTTATTGAGTCAACAAGTTAAATATGATCTTATAGATATTGCTGAATAACACAATGCTCAAAAATCAACATTTTACCATTTCAATTATATTTAAGTGGATCGATTATGGAAGAAGATTATGAGGTGCAACTGAAAAGATGACATTCTTTATTCAATCGAATAAAATTCCTGAATTATTAGAGATTGATCTGACATGTGTGAGAGAGAGAAAAAGATCAATCAAGTAGTTGAAATGTATGTCGAAATGAATGTAATTAAAAGTTGTATGAAACGAAATTGTTCGTCTTTCAATTGGATTACAAAATGTTAATGATATCTCATGTACGATACAATCAAAGAAAATGTTCAATTTGATGGATTTATTCGTATTGGTTCCAAACATACTCAATTGATGTAGTAAGATTTTTTTGCGATCAAGAATATTAAAACGATAATAGAAATATCGAATTATTCTTTTCTACTTAGAAAATGTGACAAATATCGAGTAAAAAACGTTTTTACAAGAACTAATGATTGTCCATCGAATTTCACGAAATCTCTCTTATATCAATCAAAACAGTTTGAATACACATCTAGACGAAAACGTTATGATTGTGTTCTTCTTTATTTGTCAAAATGTTGTTCATGAAATTGGTCAGCATGAATCAATTTTATATGGTTGTAATCGAAATAGATACGAAGAAAGAACTCTGTGTCGTTATCTTCTTTAAAATTAACAATAGATATATGTACGGTGACTCATTCATATCGGTTAAAATCAATCCAGTAATTGGAACAAACTATTGTTCAAGTGAACAGTTTAAGAAACTCAGAATAACTAATGATTTGATAATTTGTTTAGCTGAAACTGTTTATTATACATTTTGGGTAGATCCATGGGGTCCCTACCACGTTTTGGAAACGAATTTTTTTTCGATTTCTTTTTCGCTCAATATGCCGAAGTGGTCTAGAAAACACTTTTGGTGAAAAAAAATGGGTCTCTACCTATTGAAAATTTCGAGTTCTAGGTCGTTTTTACGGAACGTGTCTTGGTATATCGTCACATATACCGAAAATGTCAGAAAAAAACACGAAACGTCTCCAAAGATAACTTCTTAGGCAGTTTTTTCATTCTGAAAAAGATAGAGATATTCTAGAAAAAAAAAATTCACGAAAAAAAACAGGTCTCGCATACCGAAAATATCGGATTTTGGGTCATTTTTCTCGGAATATGACAACTAGCAGAGTTGCAAATCGAATAACAACCATTTGATTCAAGGAATTTATTCTTTTGTGAACAGATTTCAACGATTCTAATTACAGAAAGCTCTTGTATCGGTAGTTGATGAAGTGGAATGTTGAAATTGATGCCGTTCTAAGCGATGAAATTGAGACTGAACGAACAGGCTCCAGAGAAAATTGAGAGAGTTTTTAACTGTGGTTTAACGCTGAGTTTTACTAACAAAGTTTATTTGAAAATTTATTGGGTTGAAGAGGTACGAAAGAGATTTTATTTAAATGAGTGTGTTTTGATCTTTGTTGATAGAGATGTCGAGCGACATTGAGCCGTTGTATCACTAATCGGTTGAAATTCATGCAGCGCCCGAATCCCTTGTATTTTGCCTAAATAAACATGGTTAGAAGTGTCCACTAGCACCGTCGCTAAACAAAAGAATACTGTTGACAGAATGCGTCTACCCTAATAAAAATTTTCGGTGTGTAGAAAAACGAAAATCTACCTGACATAACTGATCTTTTCCACCAATGAAAAGTTCTTTTTGATGAATCGGACGAGAATTTGTTGTGCACAGTAAACAAACGATGTTGTATGTTCCATATAATCACTGATGATCGCTACGTTTCTTTGCTTTCGGCCAATTGTCAAATGGATTGTGAACAAAGTAACTTGATGTTGACTAAAAAATCCTTCTTGAACTTCACGTTGACGTATTAAGGTAAAATTCATTGAGAAGTCGATCTGAGCCACGAGAAACGTTTTATCCGTCGACTTTTCACGCAGTTCTTTAATGTATTGTCTTTGTTGACGATTACAATGAACGTGGAATAAAAATACATCCTATTTCTCTTCGATTTCTGCCAGTAGGGAGTCGACTGAGCCTGTTATTTGTTGAAGATCAAATTTGTTGTTGACTTTTTTCCACATAGTCCATGCGCATTCTTCGTCGTGATCTATAGTGTTGTTGTGAGTAAGGATGTCGATGAGATTTTCTGTCGGACAATTGTCACACTCGCCAGTGAAGCACTCTTCCTTTTGGATAGTACAGACCATTTGAGTAATTAGATCATTCATATTAATCTTGTTATCGGATGAAGAAGAGGCTATGGCGACATGTTTTTGATAATGGTTGTTCCAAGCCTATAATGAAAATGCGATATAATCGAATGAGAGTGTAGTTGACACGAACTTTCAATAATAAATCCATGTTCTCGTGGATAATACATATGCACGTGNACCGTGAGAAGCGGTCAGCTACTCAATCAGTTTGTCGTTACAACACTCATTTAAATAAAATCTCTTTCACAATAAGACACGCGCTTATATAGAGAAGAGGAAAGAGAGATATGATCCGGAGATAGTATGATATAGAGGTGAGAGGATAAAGAACAGAAAGAGATGAACGATATCATTATCGTTACAAGTGTGTTTTGATCTTTGTTGATAGAGATGTCGAACGACATTGAACCGTTGTATCACTAATCGTTTGAAATTCATGCAGCGCCCGAATCCCTTGTATTTTGCCTAAATAAACATGGCTATGAAAAATAAATCAAATATATCTTCTTACGTAATGCCTGAAGTTTTTCGAATCTGGAGTTAAGAATATTGTTTTTAACCTTTTCAATTTCATCTGCCTCGAGATAGAACACATAAACAGCCGGATTGTCTCTGTTTGAATTCAAAGAAATCTTTTGCGGTGGACAACCGAATATTCTTCGACAGTGTAGCACGTCTAGCAGTTGACTTCAAGGTAGCACCAATTCCATCCCCTGCAGACTTCCCGTGTCCGGTGGAAGTGAATGTCCAAGAAGCTTCTAATTCAAAATCGATCTTGTGATGAATTAAGTTGAAAATGTTAGCGTTGTTCTTGAAGTGTCGACTAGCGCCGTCGCTAAACAAAAGAATACTGTTGACAGAATGCGTCTACCCTAATAAAGTCTTCGGTGTGCAGAAAAATGAAAATCTACCTGACATAACTGATCTTTTTCACCAATGGAAAGTTCTTTTTGATGAATCGGACGAGAATTTGTTGTGCACAGTAAACAAACGATGTTGTATGTTCCATATAATCACTGATGATCGCTACGTTTCGTTGCTCTCGGCCAATTGTCAAATGGATTGTGAACAAAGTAACTTGATGTTGACTATAAAATCCTTGTTGAACTTCACGTTGACGTATTAAGGTAAAATTCATTGAGAAGTCGATCTGAGCCACGAGAAACGTTTTATCCGTCGACTTTTCACGCAGTTCCTTAATGTACTGTCTTTGTCGACGATTACAATGAACGTGGAATAAAAATACATCCCATTTGTCTTCGATTTCTGTCAGCAGGGAGTCGACTGAGCCTGTTATTTATTGAAGATCAAATTTGTTGTTGACTTTTTTCCACACAGTCCATGCGCATTCTTCGTCGTGATCTATAGCGTTGTTGTGAGTAAGGATGTCGATGAGATTTGCTGTCGGACAATTGTCACACTCGCCAGTGAAGTACTCTTCCTTTTGGATAGTACAGACTATTTGAGTAATTAGATCATTCATATTAATCTTGTTATCGGATGAAGAAGAGGCTATGGCGACATGTTTTTGATAATGGTTGTTCCAAGCCTATAATGAAAATGCGATATAATCGAATGAGAGTGTAGTTGACACGAACTTTCAATAATAAATCCATGTTCTCGTGGATAATACATATGCACGTGNACTTCAAGGTAGCACCAATTCCATCCCCTGCAGACTTCCCGTGTCCGGTGGAAGTGAATGTCCAAGAAGCTTCTAATTCAAAATCGATCTTGTGATGAATTAAGTTTAAAATGTTAGCGCTGTTCTTGAAGTGTCCACTAGCACCGTCGCTAAACAAAAGAATACTATTGACAGAATGCGTCTACCCTGATAAAAATTTTCGGTGTGTAGAAAAACGAAAATCTACCTGACATAACTGATCTTTTTCACCAATGGAAAGTTCTTTTTGATGAATCGGACGAGAATTTGTTGTGCACGGTAAACGAACGATGTTGTATGTTCCATATAATCACTGATGATCGCTACGTTTCGTTGTTCTCGGCCAATTGTCGAATGAAATTGCGAACAAAGTAACTTGATGTTGACTGAGAAATCCTTGTTGAACTTTACGTTGACGTATTAAGGTAAAATTCATTGAGAAGTCGATCTGAGCCACGAGAAACGTTTGATCCGTCGACTATTCACACAGTTCTTTAATGTACTGTCTTTGTTGACGATTACAATGAACGTGGAATAAAAATGCATCCCATTTGTCTTCGATTTCTGTCAGCAGGGAGTCGACTGAGCCTGATATTTGTTGAAGATCAAATTTGTTGTTGACTTTTTTCCACACAGTCCATGCGCATTCTTCGTCGTGATCTATAGTGTTGTTGTGAGTAAGGATGTCGATGAGATTTTCTGTCGGACAATTGTCACACTCGCCAGTAAAGCACTCTTCCTTTTGGATAGTACAGACCATTTGAGTAATTAGATCATTCATATTAATCTTGTTATCGGATGAAGAAGAGGCTATGGCGACATGTTTTTGATAATGGTTGTTCCAAGCCTATAATGAAAATGCGATATAATCGAATGAGAGTGTAGTTGACACGAACTTTCAATAATAAATCCATGTTCTCGTGGATAATACATATGCACGTGCCATGCGGTGTTGCAATTTTCACCTCGCGTGGTCGAAGAGGATAGAAGGTAGACCTTGCGACAGCTCCAGGCAATCGTTCGTTAAATATTCGATAAGCATCCAGGACAGTCATCTCCATAAAACGAACTGCTACAGCTTGTCCATTGATTTTCATTGTGTCCTTGGAATTTGATGAAACTCGACTGATACCATCTTCACGGTAAAACTTGACAACTGTGTCAATCGTAGCATCAGATAAAGGAATATTTCTTCGTAAACATTGTGGATAGACTAATATCCCTTTGTCTTTTCGTAGAACCAGCGATCTTCGAGCCTGACTTTGTTTTACTTGAAACCTAATAAATGTAAGAAATTGATAGCGACAGGCGTTTGAGCAAATGAAAGAAAATCGAAAAAATGACGATAAATACAAACCATCTTTCGATTTTTTGTCTACCCCATTCTCTCGGAGCGATTGTCATTAAACGATTTTTTTCATTGGCGTCGCTTTCGACGAACAATTTTTTCAAACCATCCAAAAACTCGTTCGATTCAGATATTCTAAGTTCGTGAGGATTTGGATCATGTGAAGCTTGAGTCACCCCTTCCAGTACATCACACCACTGTTGAAGCTTTCGATAGACTTCATCAACTTTAACTCGGATAGGAAATACTGTCAATCTAAATACGAGAATCGTTTCAGAAGATTAGCAGTAAATTTGCGACGTACTTATCATGAATTGGCTCTATTTTTAATAATTCAAATACAGCCGACAATTGTTTCACCGCTTTGTTTTTCTGATATTCGTGTTCATATAAAACATCGCCTTCTTCTTCATCCATTGATTCACAATCGGTCGATCTTTCATCCATATGCAGTGAGTGATGACTATTCTCTTTCGACTCATTCATAAAACCACTATCCTTCCGAACATTATCTTCTTCTTCTTCAGTTAATTCTTCGGTAGCATGATCATCGTCCTTTGTACTACAATTGTCGAGGATCTCTGTCATCATGGCATCATCATCATCGCCATCATCACTCGAAACTTCATTGTCTTTCATCTGCACTGTTTGATAAGCCGTCATTTCCTTCGATTCAACAACATGGCATCTTGGATATAACCAGCGCGTTCGGGTCTCCGTCATATTATACCGAGAAACCAAAAATTTTGATAGCTGTAACGATACGGCTATTGTTCCTTTTGGTACACGAGTAGAATTTGCATGTTTTTCCGGATGTTCACAACACTTTCGTTTCGGCATTAGGAAAAGATTTTAAAAAAAGAAAAGTACTGGTGGACAATCTTCTCTCTCATATCCGATGAATCATGTTGAAATATCATTCGTTCGAAATCCCGTAGCTTGTACAAAAGACGTCACGTCTAAAGATGGCCTCACAATTCATTCTAAAACTCGTCTTTTTAATATTGCTCTATTCTTCCAAATTATCATCTTCCATATTCATCACTGTATAGCGGTGTTTCTTCCGCTTTACCTAAGGAAATTCATCAGTTCAACAAAGCTTTGAAAGTATACTGTGATCAAAATCGTTGAAATCTGTTCACAAAAGAATATATTCCTTGAATCAAATGGTTGTTATTCGATTTGCAAATCTGCTAGTTGTTATATTCCGAGAAAAATGACCGAAAATCCGATATTTTCGGTATGGGGGACCTGTTTTTTTTCGTGAATTTTTTTTCTAGAATATTTCCATCTTTTTCAGCATAAAAAACTGCCTAAGAAGTTGTCTTTGGAGACGTTTCGTGTTTTTTTCTGACATTTTCGGTATATATGACGATATACCAAGACACGTTCCGAAAAAACGACCTAGAACTCGAAATTTTCAATAGGAAGGGACTCATTTTTTTTCACCAAAAGTGTTTTCTAGACCACTTCGGCATATTGAGCGAAAAAAAAATCGAAAAAAAATCTTTTCCAGAAAAGTGGTAGGGACCCCATAGATCTACCCTTCAAAGCAATTTCATTTCTCTACGATAGATTGCGGCATTTCTTGATTCATTTACACTCGAAGATCTTTCTCTCGATGAGATCAATGAAGCTGAATTATTGATCATGCAATCAATGAAAGTTACTTCGAATTCAAGAAAAATAGCATTCTCGACAGCAACTGTACGAGAAAGTAGAGCATCATCGAATACACCATCGACCGCACCTTCATCAAACAATCCACCGAAATAGTCAAAGACTTCAACACTTGAACGAATTCGCATGCTGTGTCGTCCTTCATCGGTTGGTGAAGAAACCACACCGAAACAAAATACCAAAACGAGTACACTTACGTTGAAACAGGAATTCAGCTTTTATGTATCCTCTGCTGCATTATCAAAGGACTTTCAAACGTATTGGAATGAAAACAAAAATCGTTTCCCAATATTATCATCGTATGCTCGTCGATATAATTGTGTTCCAGCAACTTCAGCTGCATATCAGAATCAGTATTTTCAGTTGCAGGTTACATAGATCGCAAACAACGAGCGTCACTATCAACAACAACGTTACGATATCAAATGCTACTTAAAGAAATTGATTGATATACAGACATACATTCATATGTTCAATATGTATGTGTAGGTACAAACATGTTTTATGTTTATTTAACTCATCGAAGTCATTTTTTGTTGTTATACTAGAAGACAAAGTTATTAATAAACTAGCGCTATGAGAAAGAACTTATTTTCGAACAGATAATGCTTTTCATATTCACTCAAGAGGAAAACTACGCACAGGTATGAATCTACAAGACACAATAAAAAGTGTTTTCCTTGGTTATTATCTTACCGACACGAGATTCCGATAATCTGAATACGCTATTCTTTGCTTCAAGTGTAACCAAGAGAAAAATATATTGCGCGCGGTGCTAATGTATCAATATCATTATCAATAAACATAATATATAACATCATCGTCTGAAGATATTAAACTGCGGCTTTAGAAACTATTCTGCTACTCTGTGACTGTGATTCACTTATAAGGAATAAACAACTTCGTGCATATATTGATGATTATCGTTTGACGGTCTAAGGAATTGGTGTTACACCGTTCTGAAGCGAAAAAGCATCTTCATGTCACAAAATATGTTCTACTTAATATCTATCGTTGACTCAATGACTATTCTTTATTACGTTGAAATTTAGAAATAGACAATCTTTATTCTTTATTTTAACTTCATTTTGGTGATAAAGAAAAATCTTTATCTTTATTTGTTTAAAAGATAAAGATTCACACAACTTTATTCTTTATTTTAAAGAAAAATAAATATAAAGTAACACCCCTAATTTCAACCATATTATCAAAATCTTCTCCTGCAACACGTGTCAACATGAAAGACACAGCGAATTAGCCGACCATAGTATTGTAGCTCACAAGTCTTTCTGCAGCTTGATATATTGTAAGCCATGTACACTTAACACAATAACATTTTCAGTANTGAGCTAGCACTTGATCGAGTTGTACCTGACGAAAATCCTGTTGAAACTTTCTATAAGAAAACAGAAAAAATATTCCTCTATCGACAGTTGTCTACTCACAATGCAAGCAGAGGAACTGCTGGTAGACACACCTGAGCCACTGGCACTGAATGGATCACATCCTGATGACCCAGCAGTACACTGATAACAAGTGATTGCCGAGCAAATAGGTAATACAGCTACATGAGAAGAGAACGTAAAACATATCGTCTATCACGAAGTAAATAGACTTACCAAGTAGACAAAGAACAGCAAATGAATTCATGTTGATTTGTTTTTTTTTGTGAGGCGAATGAGATTGTTCTGAGCAGTTGTTAGTGCCTTTTTATAGTCAGTAATATCGATGACGCAAATAAAAAGTGACGCTGCTTCTTTCGACGACGTCGGCGTATTTATTTATTTTTCAACTTCAAGATAATTATTCATTCGAATGAAAAAAAAATGTTCTCACCATTCACCCAAAAATAGCTTTAATGTATTCGTAGCGATGCGCTTTTTCTGTTTGTTAATCATGCCACTGTTGCTTGCGCTTCGCTTTTCAGAGCACAATCGTGGGCGGACTAGCAGAGTACACACGACGAAGAATATGAAAATTGTACTGCTTCATATTTCATTTTTTCCTTGTTAGATTAACCCTTTCCGGCCGGATGTTGCCAAAAGGCAACAATTTTGCCGTAGGGGGGTACGGCATTCTCCAAAAATTCGAGGCTGAAAAATTAATCCTCATAACTAAACTAACAAGAATGTATATAAAGAAAATCTTTTGCTGGCTGTTTTCTGGTAGCCGGCCGGAAAGGGTTAAAGTAACCATAAAAAATGAATGTACCGTACATTTACACAAGATCTAATACGAAAAACGATTCACAAATGACAAAAGATGACGACAAGTGAGTATGGTATATCAAAGGATTGACAATGTGATTCCATTTCCCAGTTGTAATTAATTGAGGAAGTCGTAACGGTTATGTATTAAAAATATCAGGAAAAAAATATTGAAAGTTAAAATGTCCAACGCAGAATTATCAAATCAATGAAAAATTGACAGTGATGGCAGGGTTGCGGGTGAAGTTGTAACAGGAAGAATGTTGAAGATTAGATTATAGGAGAGAGCTACGGTATCAGTGAGTATGAAGGGTAGTATAGCGTGGCATGGTGGAACTAAATCTTCATAAAACAAAGTATATAAAAGTGAAACAAGCTGTTATTGGCCATCAATGATGTTGCACAATGTTTGATATTTAGTTCGACTTTTTTCGTTCGATCTTTTCATTGTAAATGTTCGTAGTATTCACAATTGAGATAGAACTTAACCCAGGTTATTATGGCACGGTCGGTTCCGGCCGGTTAGGTTCGTTTTCCGACCATTTCCTTGCCGTCGGATTCCGGCCGGAAGTTCAAACGTAGGTTCCAGTCATTTCCCGACCGTTTCCTGCAAACTTCGAGCTGGAAACGGTCAGGAACTGATCGGATATTTCCTGTGCAATTCCGGCCGGAATCGAGAAGAGCTGTACCGGAACCGACTCAGATTTCAACGGATCCAGTCGCCGGAATGATCGACCTGGGAAAACACGTTCCGAAAAAACGACCTAGAACTCGAAATTTTCAATAGGAAGAGACCCATTTTTTTTTCACCAAAAGTGTTTTCTAGACCACTTCGGCATATTGAGCGAAAAAAAAAATCGAAAAAAAATTCTTTTCCAAAAAAAGTGGTAGGGACCCCATAGATCTACCCTTATAATAATCAGGGACTTGACTGAGTGTTAAACGATGTGAAATAACAAAAGTTGGATCAAATTCTCCTGAACGAATTTGATCTAAACATGTTTCCCAATGTTTTTGTGCATAAAATTGTCCACCAACAACTGTTAAATGTTTTTCCATCATCAATCCAATTGGAAAATGATTAACAACATTATTATAAACACCAATAATTGCAATGGTTCCAGCTTTTCATGTACATGTGATCATTTCTGTTAAAATATCACCCGAATCGGTTTCTAAATCGAGAAAACGTTCAATTTTATGAAGTAATCATTTGGCGTAATCCAAACCAGCAGCTTCTAAAGAACAATCGACGCCACCAGGAACCATTTCGAGTAACTGTAACGATAATGATATCGTTCATCTCTTTCTGTTCTTTATTCTCTTTCCTCTTCTCTATATAAGCGTGTGTCTTATTGTGAAATAGGCACATTCTGGATATGTGTGAGTAAGTCAATAAACATCTATACCGTGAGAAGCGGTCTGCTACTCAACCAGTTTATCGTTACAGTAGCTTCTTTGCCAAATCGATTTTTTCTTAAACACCCTCAATTGCAATAATTCGCTTTGCACCGCGTATTTGACATCAACGTGCTTCAAGTAAACGAATTGGTCCTAAACCCCAAATAGCCACAGTCGAATATTCTTTCAAATTGGTAATGTAACATCCGATAGATAAAGTGCTTTATCATCTGGTACATCAGCAAATGGAACCCGAACGTATTCAGCTTGTCCATCCGGTACGCCACCTCTTAAGTGTGAAATCCAAATAATGCATAGTTTTTTTTCGTAAATTTTCTCTTCAAGTTTCAATGGATTTGTTGTATCACAGACAAAACATTCTTCACATTTACAATAATCACAAAAAATCACAGGCGATGTTAAATGCGTCTAACTTTGAATTTCTTCACTTGTTCACCAGTTTGTCCGATAATTTTCATAAATTCATGACCGAGAATATCTCCATCATGCATATCAAGCATTTCATTACTATACAAATGTAAATCCGAACCCGCAAACAGTTGTTGCCGTGTGATTTTCAATAAAATATCATGAGGATCGGGCATCATTGGTATTTGTTTTTCACACCAGACAATGGTTTTTTGTTGGCGAGTTTCGCCATATTTTAGTTGAGATGGAGTTCTTGAAAAACAACTTACGATGTTGGAGTTTTTCCTGCGAATTTATCAGCGATTTCCTATAGAATAAAAGGTTACAGAGTACAAAAGATTTCAGTTGAAGACCTCGAATCTTCCACATGATCTTCCCGTTTCTCAATTTCACAAATAATTCTCATCGATCGAATTCGTTTCATGAAAAGATTCATTTTTTCTAGTCACATCGTATGTTTAAAGTAACGAAGGAGAAATTTCTATTCAAATTCAATTTTTAACCAACAAATCTACGAACTTTCTTCTCTCATAAACGAAACAATTTCAATAAATACAACTGAAAGTCGTATCAATCGCTTTCTCAACATATTTCGTGAAAAGTCTTTGATTGTGAAAAGAAATCACTCGTTGTTCTTCTCCTTTCTCTACTTCCTCATTGATGAAAATCTAAGATAAATGTATAATCTAAAATATCCTTCTTTTCTAACGAAAGATCGATGATATTCTTAATGACATCACCTTGTTATCATATATTCATTCAATCGAAAAGAAATCATTGAGAAAAAAGGTCAAAGATTGATGAACATCAAGTCTAAATCACGATTTGTCTTCCCTTTTCATTTGATAAAGAAGCCTAAAATGCAATATCCAACGATGGATCGCGCTTCTGCTTTTGCTCTTGGTCTTTTACCAAATTTTGCTCCTGATGCTGTTAAAGTTGTTATCAGACTGGGTGAGAAAATGTACGAAACCGCTAAAAATGCTAAAGCAAATAAAGGTACATGTTTGCAATTAGCTATGCACGCTTGGGAGTCAATTGAGATCTTATTGTACATTCTCGGAGTTTCAGTACCAAGTCCTGCGTTTGATCGAGCTGTTGATACTTTAACGGACACTCTTTCAACTGGAGTTGATCTTTTGAAAAAATATGTTGACACAACACCAATTATTCGAACAATTTTAAGTAATCGATTCAAAAAACAATTCGATGATTATGAACAACGGTTGAATAATCATAAAGATCGACTTTTATTTGCAATGGTTGCTTATACTTTTGGATGGTTAAATAAAATTCAAACTCGACAAGGAATTACTTTACCATTAGTTGAACAAAAAAATCAGACAACATATTATCCAACAACACAAACACGATTTCTGAATCTTTCTTATTGATTTTATATGGTAAAAAACTCGAAAAATTTATTCATACTCCTCTTCTCTTCATAGATGTCGCTAAAAAGAAATCACATTTTTAATGGAAATTTCTTTTTTTTTCTCGATTTTATTTATTTAATTTTAAAAGAGAAACAATTTTAATAAAACGATATTTATTTGATATCAATTGAACATTTATTGATTGGACAGACGAATTGAACTTTGTGCATCGGACAGTGAGAAGATATTCCAAAAAGAAGCAAAATGGCTCCAACACGTGGTCAACGAAAAAGTGAAACAGTTGCCGCATCGTCATTTTCATTAGAACGACAATTATTATCCGATATTGATGAATCAATTCATTATGACTATGGCGATGAAGATGATCAACAACAGAATAAAAAAGATCAAGATGATGAAGATTCCAATGAAAATCCAATTGATCCATTTTCAACAAAACAATTTCAATCAAAACGACGACGAGGATTTCGAAAGAAACCCCGACCATTTAGTGAAGAAGATATTGAAGCTTTACAACAATTATCATGTGCAAAAGCTTTTTCAAGATTTCATTCACGAATGAAAAGAGAAGCACAAACAGATGAATCTATTGGAGATTATCTCAAAGCTTGTGCTTTATTAGCAACAAAATTACGTCATTGTAAAAATGAATTCTTAGAAGGTGATGATGCTGATCAACAAATTGAAACTTATTATAATGATCGATTAGAAGAATATTCAACTTTATCGAAACAAGAATTTCTTAATTTAGCTGAACGATACAAATCAGATATTCATCATACAATCGATAAATGGTTGAAAAAACGATCGAAATCAAGATCACATGCGAAGAAAAATAATCCTGGAGAATATAAAAGAAACATGTTATCGGATGCTTTAGAAGCTCTCGCAAAAAAATAACTTTTTCTTTTCTATTAAACATACAATGTCGTCTTTTCAATAAACATCAAATCAAGTCATTTATCATAAAGAATTTCTCTTACTTCGATAAATCATTTTAATGCGTCCACCAATCTGATATGATCTTTTAAAACGAATGATTCGATGAATGAAATGACGCAATTTTAATCTAGAATCAAAAGTGAACTTGTTTGTACTTGATATCGACGTGTACGCAATAAGACGAAGAGGAGAAAAAGAGAAGAACGAACGAAAAAGTGGGCACGATAAGTAACTATATATAAACGAGTACGTTATATAGTTCGACATTCAAATAGCGTACATCGATATTAAACGAGAATCTTCGAATTCCAAATGTCTGCTTCGCACAAAGAAACAATTGAAGAATTTATTCGTATTGACAATAGTCGTCATGTTCATCATTTAGAAAAAGTTCTTGATGATCATGTAACCAAAGAAGAAAACAAGAAAACAGCTTATACGAATATTCAAGAAGCCCGAGAATATTATTCTATGGAACATGAAGCAAATCCATCAGCTCAATGGAAACTTTTGGATTTCAAACAAGATGATGCAAATTCAGCACAAGCAACTATTTCGTACAATAATCATACGTATGACACGAAATATACATTTAATTCAGCTGGAAAAATTCTCAAAATCGAATCGCATCTTCAACAACAACAACAGTGAAAACCATGTCATCAGGAACTTCTTTTAGATTTTCATAAGACGTTCTTCTTTTTCTTTCATCAGGGTAGTTTAGTTCGTTTTATTTTGAAATAAAACATTATTTTCTCGATCAGATCATTCATTTTATTCTTATTGAACTATCGACGCATTTTCCGTCAGGTTCATTTTTCTTACATTCAGATCATCAAATATTCAGGCGAATAAGATATCTTGAGTGTCTATTAAGATATGTAAAAATAGATGGTTGTGTAAATATCAATCTTTGTACAACAAAACCGGACAAATCTCACTGTCTGACGTTATGATTGATGTTCGAATTCACATTTTCATTTTGTCTTCACTATGAAAAAGTATTTCAATTCTACTTGATTGTCATCAGATGACTTCGTCTGTTCACTATTTACATTCAATTCCTTTGATAAATATCGTTATCAAATTGTGTAGAATGGTTGCTTCGATCAATTTCCAACTTCTATTTTCACCTGTACAAATCTTCTGATGTGTCAAGTTCAATAAGCTATGGTCATTTGAACTAAAATGAAACTGTTCGATAAAGATTCAGCTGTGAAAAAGCAAGTCAAAGGTTTTCTCAATTACAATTAACCAGATGGAAAGGGGTAACAGAAACGACATTGTCATGTGTAAAAAGAACATATTTGTACATGATGAGAAATTGGCATATTTTCAAATCGACGTTCTTTTTCAAATTAAAAGGCTTTTGTGACGCGTAGAACTGTTGTTCTCTTCATCGCTTGTCTGTGCAAACATTTCTCGGAACAAAAGTATAAATACAAAATCTGAAAAATATAAATTTAATAAATAAAGTCATTGGTAAATCTGTTTATGTAATTCTCGATTAAGTCTATTGCTATTCCAATTCGCATTGTGCAACTTATATCGTTCTGATTACTTTGGTAGTAAAAAGTTAATTTAGGAAAATTCGCACGACTGATTTTTCTGATTTACTCGTCGTGTTGAACAATGAAATTGTTATTCGGTTGGCTCGTCAATGATTTGAAGAATGGAAATTTATTCGAAAATAAATCAATTGACAACAATATTATTCGTCGAGAACGTTGGTCAACTCGTCTTTATCTTTTCTTCTTAATAATCTGTATATTAATCTTAATGATTTATGTATTCATTTCAACATGAAATAATTTTTATAACTGTTCAATCGGATTCGTTGGAAATATTTTAGAAACTTCAATTGAAATATCGAAATGTTTTCAAATGTTCTTGTTCACAAATTATTGTTAAACACCAACATCTTCTTCATATTGAACCAATTTATCATCAAGAAAAAAAGAATTAAAGTTGAATTGTTCATTAAGAAAGAGTTTTTTTTTGTGTTTAGATATGTCCGAGTGTATTCACCAGTGCGACGAGTAAATTTCATCAATATTCATGGTCAATTTCTTCGCTCATTTTTTAAAAATACTCAAATAAACATCAATTTCGTTTTATTAAATGTTCTTTCACCATCTTTAGTTCGTCCCTGAGTTGTTTTCACAACCATTGGTTCAATTACAAGTTAATATTCAACATAAAACACTTCGATCAGCAGGCAAATGTCTGCCTTAATTATAGTTTTCTTCGTTTTGTTATCACAGATACTCGATTAATCAATAGTTTAAGTACAAATAGATATTTATCAATTAAATAGTTCAATGAATCTTTGTTATTCTATAAGATTTGATAATTGTGCATTAACCAGATGTAATTTCTACAAATCCACATATATCAACATTTGGATAAGATAATTTCGATCTTTTCTGATTCCAATCAAATGTATTCAAACAGGTTTTTATCCATTAGAAAGTGTTCTTCAATCGAAACATTAATTAATGAATAAATGGTGAAACAATGAATTCTAAATGCATCTTTTTGAATTATTTTAACAACAATTATCGCTTTGTTTGTTCGTTCTAATACTTCTTTACAAATCATTACTCCATTTATAATTTAATTAATTGGAAATTTTCATTTCATTGTATTTGAACAAAATTCGAAATCCACTGATCCAATAAAATAAAAATCTGAACATCACACAACACGTCTTTATCTTCTCTTTCTTTTCATCACATTTCATATATTCTTCTCTGTTTAGCCATTTTAACTGAACAACCATTTGTTTATACCGTTGAGAAACCTTCTTTCCGAACTTCTGATCAACTTTATCGAAAATATTCATCAACAAATTCAATGTTCTCATACAAAAATGCCACTCTTTCTATCTCAATTGGTTTATTTTAGAACAGATATTTATTATTCAACTGATTTTATGTTATTAAGTGTGGAATATTTTCAATGGTTAACAACATTTTGTCAACTTATTTTTGCGAATCAATTCAATGCATTTCGAACAAATTTTTTCATAATAATAATAAACTTCTCATTCGCGATCAAGTTCAAATTCAAGTCACACAATGAATTGATTTATTTCAACATGATGTTCAACCATTATTATCGATTTCGACAATAAAATATCAATCACCAATCCAACAAACACAATTCGATAGACAAGTAAAAATTCTACCTGCTCATCTCTTCTCGACTTGTTCATGTTTATCCAATCTAACATCGTGTTCAGATGATGCTCCACCTCTGCAATCTATTTCACATGGACATTGTTCGTGTTCAACATCATCCAAATACATTGAGCCACTTACTCATCATGGACAAATTCTATCTGGTCTTATTGTCGTTGGTTGTATTAGAATTCCACATGTGTAAACCAATTAAATATCGATCAAATCCCTGTTCAACCATTAACAATTTCACAATTAGTTGATCGTATTTTTGAACACAACATTAAGAAGAAGAAGAACAAATGCTGTTCGTCTAACAGATCCAACAGGGATATGAAAAGAACATCAAAGACTTCAACTATTGAAAATATTCGTCGAAACAGTTCTTTTGTGTGTAATTGTCATGTGTTATTCGTCCCTTTATCTCTGAATAAATTGATTTATTATGCGTTGAAAACCTCCGCTCCGTTCTATTTCCATCTTATCACCAACATATGTTCAACTATATATAAAAGAACGTTAATTTCCAACAAAACCATTGAGACAAAAAATGTCATTGATAAACATTGGTAAACAAATAACAATTTATGTTGGTTGGTCACTTTTAGCAATTGGAATAGTTGGAAATGGAATAAATATTTTTATCTTTTCAAGTGTTCAAAATTATCGTCAAACTCCATGTACATTTTATTTTCTCATTTCATCAATTGATAATCTTTTAATTTTATTCGTAAATCTTCTTTCTCGTATTCTTATTTTAGGATATGAAATAGATTTAACAAAAACATCATTATTTTGGTGTAAATTCCGTTCCTATACGATCAATGTCTTTCCTCTATCGTCATTTTCATATTCATGTTTATCATCTATTGATCAATATTTATTAACATCACGAAATGTTCAAATTCGTCGTTTAAGTCAAATAAAATATTCCTATCGAATTGTATTTTTTCTCACTCTATTTTGGTTTATTCACGCCATTCCACAAATACTCTTTTTCGATAATTCATCTCAACAAACGTGTTCAAATACAAATCCTTCGTATTCAATTTATAATACAATTTATATTTTAACATTTAGTTCAACATTTCCAATTCTGATTATGATTATCTTTGGTTATTTCACCTATTGTAACATTCAATTGATCAGAACTTTGAATGAACATCAAATTGATTATCAATTACTTCGAATGACTTTATTTCAAATAATTCTTATTTTAATAACTGTTGGTCCTTATGGAATAAATCATCTTTATGAATTAATTCAATCGTTTGTCAACAAAAACAAATCGGAAAATGAATCATTGATTTCAACAATCTTTTCTCTCTTGTATTATGTCAATTTCTCAGTAAACACTTTTCTCGTTCTTTTTCAAAGATTTTTTTGTTTTCTTCTAGGGAAATTGTTACATGTTTTTAATCTGTTCACGTCGATTTCGTCGACAAGTCAAACATCGACTTTTCTTCTTTCGATATAAACAAAATCAAATCAATCCAACGCAATGAGAAACGCAACTTCGTCATCTATCGGATCGTTCGACCTGTTTTACCTTTTTACTCACTCGTAACTTCTCAATGTAAATTTATTTCAAATTCTTTTTTTTTGTCTTCCTGTGAAAGAAAAGAGAACAAACAAATGTTCCTTCTCTCTGTCTCTCAGTGGAACATGTTGGCACTTTTGTTGAATTGAAGAACGAAGGAGGTCGTTGGTTGGTATAACATCAAGTCAATGGTTGATCAACCGGATGAAATTTTATCTCGTTTACGAGGAATCTCGTCGGATGAGAAAAGTGAAATGGGAAAATTAAAATGTCGAATTGACGATCAAGCACGATTGATAATGATGCTGAAGAAACGAAATGATGAATATATTTTAACAAATATGACTTTGGACAAACATGTCATCGATTTAGAAAATCAATTAGACGAATTAAGACAACAACTCAACGAATCTGAAAATCAAAATCAACAAATCGAAGTTTTAAATCAAACCATTGAACAGTTGAAAAACTCGAATTATCAATGGCAATTGAAAGAACAGGAAAATAAAGACAAAGTTTCATTAACAAATCAACAATTTCAGCAATTCCAACTGCAAATTTCGTCTCTGAATGAACAAGTTCAATCGATGGAAAAATTATTAAAGTTTGAAGAAGAAAATATTCAAATTTGAAAAAGAATTCTTTTTGAATTTGTAGAGATGCGAATGAAAAGAAAGATTTCATGGAAAAAGAATTTAAAGAAAAATTTATTTTCAAAGAGAAAATTATTCAAAAACAAATTCATCAAATGGAACAAATTCAAAATCAAATTCAAAGTTTGGATTCATCGATTTGGAAATACAAAGATTTTTCTTTGTATTTTTAGAAACAGAAGAAAGAATTGAAGAAAAACAAAGATTTATTGAACAAATGGAAAAAACTCATCGCATCGACATTCAACAAATTGAAAAAGACAAAAAATCTCTTGAAGAACAACTCAACAAATTTCAAAAACGTCTTCAAGTATTTTTCAGCTTCTTTCTTCTTCATTTTTCATCTCTTTTGCTCTTGGAAAAGGACTCGTCCGTCAACGAAGATAAACTTCGTCAACAATTGAATAAAACTGAACAATTATTAAAAGAAGCCAAACAAAGATTTATGTCAGTGACACAATTTCTCTTTACTTTTCGACAAAATCTTCTTTTTAGAACTGAAGAAGAACGTGTCAATTCAGATATTCGTATCAAACAAATTGAACAAAAGTTAATTGAAAGTCAAACGAAAGTTGATGAACTTCAACAAGTCATTTCTTTTATTTTCATATTTTTCAAAAAAAGACTTTTCTTTTTTTCTTTTTAGGAATTCTTTGCGTATAAAAATTACACCGCATCATTACTAAATAAAGAAAAACAATTAAATGAACGATTACAACTTTTATTAAATGGAAGAACTTCATAAAAATCGTTTTTTCCTTGTATATATTTCAATTCTTTATTAATAAAATTAAAGATATTTTCTTTGAAAATAGTTTGAAAGAAATTCCAAAATGAGATTAAATATTACAAGAAATATTTCCATATTGGATATGTCAATCAATTTTATATCTTTTATACAAAATAATCTTAAGATGAAAACAATGAAATTGAGAATAGAGATATTTTTCAACGGAATATCAACTGTTTAGCATTGGTTTATAGACGAACAAACTCAGAGAAGAGTAAAAGAATATTTTTCTTTGAATGTTTTAACAACGAATTCCAAGAAATAATCGAAAGAAATTGTCTAAAGGTCATCTATTGAATATCGTAAATAATCTGTGTATATTGAATATTAAAATAACTTTTCTAATAAGTGTACTCAACTTGTCAATGGCGTCAAAGATTAAATATTGAAGAGAGATATTTTCATCCAATTGAAAGATAAATTTGCTTTTTTTTCTTCTTTAAGTGAATAAAATTGATTTCATTGGTGGATTCGTTTTTATTCGTTTGTCATGAATTGAAATGAACTTCTCACATATCATATCCGTTTTTTTTCCTCTTTTCCGCGACATTTCCTTCTTCACACATATTTTCAATAAATAATCTCACATAGTCAAGAAATTTCATTTCGACTGAGAAACTACAAGTTTTCCATTGGAAGATTTTGTACAGAAAAAAAAGAAGAAGAATTGTTTGATGGTCATCCTATTAAATACTTCCTTCCTAAACATCTGAAGACTAATGATAATGAAGAAATATCCGACAAAAACGAGGAAATAATTCGATATTGTTCAATAATAATAATGATTAGTTTGATCACAAATGACTTGAGAAAGAAAAGAAAAGAAAAGAAAAGAAAAGAAAGCGGTATTGTTCTCTTGATATTATTCCAGGTGTTTTCTTTTTGTTCAAAATGATTAACAAATTCATTCGTGTTTTTCTTATTCGTCTTCGAATTGAAATCAAATGAGATGGTCTGTTAAACATCTTCCAGATCATTAATCGAGACATTGACATTGTTTTTCAAGGAAAGAAAATATTTTTTTGTCGGATGCAGGTGATTTCATTCTTCTTCTTCTTCTTCTCTTTTTCATTTGATCAAATGAATGAAATTGAGTCTCATATGCTACTGATTCGTTTTCATCTTATTAATGAAAAGATCAAAGACAAAACAAGGAAGTGTTACATCAGATGAACAAGGAGCAGCTTATCAATTGAAGATTATGTCATTTCTTCTTGGAGATTTAATCCACTATTCTAATATTCTCATTCTCTTCGATTTCACTCTTTCAAAATCAAAAACAAAAAAGTCATTAACCAATGATCTTGTTCTCTTTCTCTACTCTCCTCTTTCTCTCTCTTCTGCTCTCCCTTCTCTCTTCTCTCTTCAATTTGAAAAATATTGAGAAGGTCATTTAACATGAAAATGTTTGACATGGAAGAACAAGAAGAAGAACAATGTGAACGGAATCGTGGTGGTCGCAAACAAGTCAAAATCGGTACGACACGTCGAAATGCTCGAGAAAGAAATCGAGTTCGTCATATAAATACTTGTTTTGAAATACTTCGTCAACATATTCCACATGAAAAACATAATAAAAAACTTTCCAAAGTTGACACTTTGAAATCAGCTATGAATTATATTGAAAATCTTCGTCAATTATTACAATCAACAGCAACACAAACAATGATTTATACAAAAGAACAATCGAATATTTATTTTCCAATTGATATTAAACAAGAAAATCTTTATTATTGGCAAGATCAACATCAACATCAGCAACAAGATCATTTAGTTGAAGAAAACAATGAAAGATATTGTTAAAACAAATGCTTCTCTCTCTCTCTCCTGCTGTTTTTAATGTGTTTAGTTGATTGGAATTGTGAAATAGAGGAAAGAGAAGTAATCATGTCAATGAATGAATGAATGAATGAATGAATGTATATATTTAGTTGAATGTATCTTGTGGTGTTTCATTGAATATGATGTCAATTCTTTTTCCACTCAATGGCGTCGATGACTTTCTCTGTTTGTCTTGTTAATTAGACCATTTTTCAATTCATTTCCGTTTTTTCTTCTCTCTTTTTCTATATCCGGTCAACTTCTCTTCTATCCGGTCAATACAATGATCGATGATCCTTTATTTGAGATAGAAGATGAGTTTATTAATTATTCGAATCCCTTTTCTTTCTCATATTTATAAATTATTTCCTTTCGTTTCTTTTCTTTTTTAGAAAAATAAATCTCTTAGAAGAATTTCAGTCGTGTATTATTCTGTCTTATTGAGATATGATTTCAAATTCGTTAAAATGAAAATTTGTCTCTAATTGTGATGATCGTCATGACAAAACCTCTATTAGAAAATCTCAATGCGACATCTTTTTCAAGTAGAAAAGAAATATGTGCCATTCGAAATTTCTTTCTTTTGAACAAAAAGAGATTTGGAATCGAATTTCGAGTTGTTGAACAAGGAAAAAAGAGAAGAAATGTTGTTTGATTTGAATAAAGTGAAGTAGAAATGTGAAAGAGAAGATGTGAATTTTATTTGAACTGATGTAATCAAGTATTTGAAGAATTAAATCAAATAAATATTTGTTTACTTAGAAAAGAAATCATTGAAAGGAATCAACATTGATTAGATGACAAAATTAAAGGAAAAAAAAAGAGATTTCATTTCTTCTTTCTTCTTTTCATTTCGATGTCAAAAGAAAAAATGATTCGTTTAGAAAATGAGCCGAGTTTTTCGAATTTATTTCATAAATTCATTCAAATGACAATTGATACGAATGAAAAACGAAGAATTTATAAGAAAAAACAATCAAATCCTTCTAAAACAAACAAATATTATTCAAAAAATCAAACATTCATATCTATTCAAGTAAGACACATTTTCACTTCGTTGTGTCAAACATTTTTTTCTTCTTTATTAAAAAAAAAGCATTTTCCTTACTTGAAAAGAGAAAACTAATCAGTTAAAAAGGAAAATTCATTTGACTTTCTTCAACAAAAAAAACACAACAAAGTCATTTTCTTCATTCGTCTTGTTTTTTCATCATTGTTATTTAATAAAATGGCTTCAATTGATCAACAACGACAATTCTATATGAGATTATTCCGAGTAAAATATGTTTTCTTTCCAATCAAATTCAGAATATCAAAATCAAAAGAAAATCTCTATGAATTTTTTATGATTTTTATTTAGAGAAATAATGATTCTGTTCGAAAGAATATGACCCATTCATTGAATGATATTGGATTAAGTGTTACAGCAAAACCTTTAGCAAAACCAAAAGTTTGTTTTTCTTCTCAAATATCAAAAGAAACAAAAACTGATTTGTGTTTCTTTTTTAAAGAAATTATCCGTTCAACCGTTGTTAATCGATCAGAAAAATGTGAATAAATCTTTAAATCATCTTCCAAACGAAAATTCCAATAGTTTGTTCAATAAATCATTTCAATCAGATAAAAGTTCAATTGATTTTAATCGAAGTTTACGAAGAGGAAAAATTTCCAATGGAAGTTTAAAATCCTTTTCCAAAGAATATTTTGATTCATCAACAATCGATGAAATTCATCATTTAAATCAAAGTACTTCGTCCATCTATTCCAATTCACATCTTTTATCCAAATCACAAATCTTTGACAAGTCTTTTCATTTTCCCTTAAAATCTTCAGGTTAATTAAAAATCAAATCTTTGTTTTTCTCGAAAAATTCAATTGTTTTTCTTTTTTTTCTTTTTTAGAAGCTTTGAAATATTATGGTGATGAATTAAATGATTTTGAACGAAATGAAATATTCGATTATGATGAAATTTATTATCTCGGTTTAAAAGCGAAGAAACTTTGTGTTAAAGATGCAAAAGATTATGATGATGAATATGGATATTACAGAAAAGTTTTACATGATCATATTTGTTATCGATATGAAATTTTAGAAATGTTAGGAAAAGGTTCATTTGGCATTGTTATGAAATGTTTTGATCATAAAAAGAAAGAATTTTGTGCATTGAAAATTCTGAAAAATAAAAAACGTTTTCAACAACAAGGTTTAGTTGAAATTCAAATTTTAAATCATTTAAAATTATTGGATCAATATAATTCATTTCATATTGTTCATATTAAACAATATTTTTACTTTCGTTCACATCTTTGTATTACATTTGAATTACTTGGGTAAAATTCTTCGTAGAATTGATTCTTTTCAAAAAGAATTCTTCTTGTTTTTAGAATTAATTTATATGAATTGATACAAAAGAATCATTTTAATGGTTTTTCACCAAATTTAGTCAAACGATTTACTTATTCGATTTTACAAACTTTACAAATTTTGGCCAATGAACGAATTATCCATTGTGATCTCAAACCGGTAAATTGAATTGAAATAAAGAAGAAAACTTCAATGATTATTTTAGGAAAATATTTTATTAAAAGAAAAAGGAAGTTCTCAAATCAAAATTATTGATTTCGGTTCAGGATGTTTTCAATCAAATAAAAGTCAATCTTTTCTTTTTTCAAATTAAATCAATTGTTTTATTTGAAATTTAGTTTATACATATATTCAATCACGATTTTATCGAGCACCTGAAATAATCTTAGGGATTCCATATACATGTGCCATTGATATGTGGAGTTTAGCTTGTATTATTGTTGAATTACTGACTGGTTTGCTTTCTTTCTTTGTTTTTCTTTCAAAAGAAAGTCTTTGTTTCTTTCGAGGTTATCCAATATTTCCGGGTGATAATGAACAAGAACAATTGGCGATGATAATGGAAGTTTTTGATGTTCCACCAAATGATTTCATTCAACAAGGAACACGGCGACAACTTTTTTTTGGTTTGTTCTTTTAAAAAAGAAAAAGAATATTTGAAATTTCTTCTTAAGATTCGAAAAATCATCCTCGATGTTCTTCATCAAAAACAATGAAAAAACGTCGTCCAGGAACTCGTCCATTGTCTCATATTATTCGAACAAATGACTTTTATTGTTTAGATTTTCTAAATCGATGTTTTCAGTTTGTTTCTTTTTTTTCATTTATTGTTTTTTTCTAAAAAAAACTTTTCTTTCTAGTTGGAATCCAAATGAACGTTTAACACCTTCACAAGGTTTGAACCATCCATGGATTAATCAGATCAATTGTCATAGAAGACATCGACAACGAATGTCAATTTCAAGTCAATTTCTCTTTTTCACAAGAATTTCTCTGCAAGATTTTTTTATTCTTTTAGATTCAATTAAAACAAATCAAGAAGATGCTCAATCGATAAAAACATTTCCTCGACTAATTAATCAATAAAACTAATCGGTGATATTTCTTCTCAATTGAAAAAGAAAAGAAAAAACTGCGCTCTTTCAATATTTCTTTTGTTAATATTTCAATTTTTTTCTTTCAATTAATTAACAAAACGATTTCTTTGTCATTAAAAGTATTCGAATAAATACACTTGTTTCGTTTAAAAAAGAAGAAGAAGAGATGTTAATCGTTATGAATATATTGACTCACAATTAACGTTTAATTATGTTTAAATAAGAATAACAAATCAATCAATATTTGTTTGATGGATTAAATCTGATCATATCTTATGAAGATAAATATCATTTCTTTCTTTCTTTCTTTCTCTTTTGTTTCAATCAGTTCAATGTCAATTCTTCGATTGAAATCCTCGTTAGGATATATTTGGTATACAATATTTTGTTTTTTGATAGAAATTTATTGTCATATTTCAAATTTGGGTTTAATTCGTTATTTTGATTCATTTATTGATGAAAAATGGAAAGAACTGATTTTAATTTATTGTTTAATATTAATATCGATAACAATTGTTTTTTCTTCAATTTTAACTGTTTTACATTTTTTCAATGGTTTCGGAAATTCAATTGAAGATCTTCCATTGCCATTTTTTCAATCCAAAACATTTTTCAAATCTTTA